TGTGTTTGCACCAATCGTAACATAGCCCTTCATGCAAATGAAAGTCTGTGTCTGCACCAATCACAGGTCTCCCTCTGTGCCACCAGGGGAAGTGCTCCCGCTCTGGTTTGGGTGAAAACAGCTGCATGGTCATCTAGAGGTCACAGAGGCTTGTTTTGCTTAGAGTGCTGCTTTGCAGGGCAGGCTGTCTGGAGGGGTCACAACTTGAGCTTGTCTTCAGCCGTGGTTGTAGTGGAGTGTTCTCAGAGTGTCCAAAACAGCCATGCCAACTGGCTCTTGAAAATCTTAATCATTCACAGAAAGCATTAAAATGCTGTTATAATGAACGTTCCACACAGAACTAACAATTCTAATAGCATTTACTGGTATTTAGCAATGTTTGGCAGTGTTTGGCTCCTGCCTGTTCTATGAGTCCATGGATGTGCCTTTCTTGAAAAGACACAATTATGGAGACTAAACAGACCTGTGCCTTTTGGGAGCCCAGGGGATGAGGTGGGGGGGGGAGAATATAAAGAGGCAATGAGGGAGAGTTTGCAGAGGTGATGGAACTGTTCCAGAGCTTGATTGTGGGGGTGGGTTGAGGACATTTTGCAAAGAGTACATTTTAGTGTCTGTCAGTTTTTAAAAGCAGAGGAGAATATAAGTGAGGCTAGCATACTAACACACACATACAGATTGCTAAACCCAATATCCGAAGTACCGAGTTTATTAGGTCCTAGGTGGGGCCCAAGAATTTACATTTCTAGCACATTCCCTGTGCTGGTGCTGCTGGTCTGGGGCCACAGTTTGAGAACCTCTGTGTGATGCTATCCTATAGTTGTCCCTTGGTACCAAGGGGGACTGGTTCCGGGACTTCCCCTCCCCCTACAGAGTAACAAAATCCTCTGATGCCCAAGTCCCATTTAGAAAGCAATAAATTATTTGCATATGGTCTACTTGCATGCTCCCATGTACAGTCAGCAGTCTACCTGCAGGCTCCAGTTCTGTGGGTTCGACCAACCACAGCTCGAAAATATTAGGGGGAAAATTGCCTCTGTACTGACATGCACAGATTTTTTTCTTGTCATTATGTCCTGAACAATATAGTCTAACAACTGTTTCCATAGCAGTGACACAGTGTTAGGGACCGTAAGCCATCCAGAGGTGAGTTAAAGCACATGGAGAATTGCGCAGGTTCTTTGTAGGTGGAACACCACTTTTCATAAAGCAGCCGAGCATCTGCAGGTTTCAGTGTCAGGGGTCCTGGGACCCGTCCCCTGCCGACACTGAGGAACAACAGTATTTTGAGTCATCTCTACATTTGTTAAAATTACCCAATGCTATGCTCGGGAATGACAAGAAAAAAGTTTGTTCATGTCCAGTACAAATGCAATTTCTTTTTCACGAATATTTTTTTTCCATGGTTGAATCTGCAGATGTGGAACCCACGGGTATGGAGGGCTGACCATCTTATGTTTGAAATGCATGGACCATTACCTTATAACTTAAAAAACAGAAAGATTTCAATGCAGATTAGACATGTTTAGAGAAAGAAGGGGGAAATGTGAGAGAGGCAGGCAACAGGTCCCAGAGGACAGAGGGCCCAGTCCCAAGGCCATCTGTTAAGAAACCATATTTGCAGGAACAGTGGGGGAGCATTGTCTTCTTCCAGGAAGGCCGAGGGAGACCGACTTGCCCAAACTTACTCAGGCCTCCCAGAAGGGCTGATGATGGGGCTCATAGACTGTAAAGTGCAGGCCTGCGTGGGGTCCTCTGTGGACAGAGTTTGCTCAGTGTCATCCCTGTCTCACTGGGGCCTTGCACCTGCATGCGAGCATCCCCAGCCCCTGCAGATGACAAAGCAGCCCCTGGGGTGGGGTAGTGGACTTGGGTTCCAAGCCACATCGTCCAGCTTCCCAAGCTGTGGACCCTGGACACAAGCTCTCTCTCTGAGCCTCGGTTTCCTCATCCGTGCTGTGAAAGGGTACTGCCAATGGTAACAGTGGTGATGATGGTGGCGATGGTGATGACCCCACAGGGTGTCAGGTGTTCTCCCATGGAATAGCTATGAAGCCCAGGCACATGGCGGGCACTGAGCCTAACGTTATTCAGAGAGGGTGAGGACCACGCCTTCCTTAGGGGATGAAGGGCACGAGGATTCCTCTCGGCTGTGGCCAGTGGCAGGAAGGACCATCTCACACCGCAGCCACCAAGTGGGAGATTCCTAAGCAGGGAGGCTGCCGGGGATGGGAACGGACGTGGTGCTCATCCAGTCTTTTCTCTGGCTTTCTCCCGCAGACGATGGGCCTTACGCTAAGGCAGGCAGGGACGTGGGAGGGGATGTGGCCCTGGCCTGTCGCCGACAGAGCATCCCAGGTAAGGAGCTTCCTCTCCTTCCCTCGAGGTGCAGCGGGCCATGTGGGTCACACAGCATGGGCCCTGCCACTCATCACCCCGTGATCTCAGAGCAGTCACTCGGCCTTTCTGGTCCTCCTCTGGGAAGTAGGTGATGACCCAGCAGCCAGTGGCTGAGTGCCCGGCTGCCCTGTGTTAGCCTCCCTTGCCTTAGTGCCAGGTCCGGGCACCCCGGCCACCTGCTCACCCTCTATCTGCCGGCAGAGGAGTTCCGGGGGGTAACCGTGGTGGAGCTGATCAAGAGAGAGGGCAGCACGCTGGGCCTGACCATCTCCGGAGGCACCGACAAGGATGGCAAGCCTAGGGTCTCCAACCTGAGGCCCGGGGGACTGGCAGCCAGGTGAGAAGAAGGCTTGGGGGGCCCTTGGGAGGCCACAGAGGGAGGGACTGGGCCTCTAAGGCAGTTAGGTAGATAGTTTGAGGTCCCCCTGAGAACTTGGTGTCCACAGCAGGCAGGCCTCCAGCAGTGACTGTCATTCTAGGCCCCATCTTCCTCCCTCTTAGGCTAGGGGTCAATGCAGCTACAGCATCCCACTGTCTCCAGGCGATGTGTCCTTCCAGACCTCTGCCTGTGGTGTTCCCTCTGCCCGTGAGGCTGCTCCCTACAGCACGCTCCCTATTCATCCCTCAACACGCGCAGCACAGAGGTCGCAGCCCCAGGGAGGCCCTCCTGGGCTGCAAAGGCAGCACTGCGCTGTGCCCAGACAGCCCTGTGGGCAATCTGTGCACGCGCTGCCCTGCGCTATCCCTGCCTTTCACCTCTGTGGCTCCTTTAGGCCCTGAAAGTTGTTGTCAGCATCTCTGGCACTGCCTCTCTGGGCCTAAGTCACTGATGAGTGTCCAGTTGAATGGGGGATTTTCGGTGAAGAATTGGGAAGAGTGCAGGACATGATGGCCTGGCTGTTTCTTGGGCTTGTCCCATGCTGGTCACTAGAGCTGCCAGTAGGAGATGACACGTCAACTCAAGGAAATGCTGGCAGACCAGCATAGGGGACAAGCTGGAAAAGGCTTGGGTGTCCAACAGTCCAGGTTAGAACTGGCCCTTATCCTACTACCTGGCTGTGTGACCATGAACAAAACGAATGACCTCTCTGAGCCTCTGCTTCCCCATTGGTAAAATGAGGATCCAGAAATCATCCAGGAGGGTGGTGTGAAGGCCAATGCCCATGGGCTTACACCGGTCACCACGCACGCTCTGCTTCTTGCTTCAGGAGTGACCTGCTCAATGTGGGCGACTATATTCGGTCAGTGAATGGGATCCACCTGACTAGGCTCCGCCATGACGAGGTCATCACCCTGCTCAAGAATGTGGGCGAACGTGTGGTGCTGGAGGTGGAGTATGAGCTGCCCCCGCCCGGTGGGTGCCCTTGGACCAGGAACTTTCTCCACTGCCTCAGTCATGGGCGGACACAGCCACCTCCCTGATGGGGCCTGGGTGGTGGGGGACCATGCTGGATAGGGTGGGCGGTGCCTGGACACGGGCTTCCAGGCCTCACCTGGGGCGGGGTGCAGTAGTCTGTCACCAGGAGGTGGTGGGACCCCGCTAATAGCCCCCTGTCACTGCACATTTAGATGGAGGGGAAGGACTGGGGCACGTTGGCTGGATAAATGGCCTCAGGCCGCACTTGTCCTGCCCTGAGGCCAGAAGCTTGGAGTCTCTCCAAGTTCTGAATTTTCAAAGCTGGCCGAACAGCTTAAAATCTGAGTGTCTATCTGGAACACAAGACTGGCCTCTGCCCTGTCCTCTCTGAGTGGCTGACTAGCTGGGCGTTAGGGACGAGGTGCCCTCTGAGCCTCATATCCTGCCTGGAAAATGGAGAGCGATTCACCCTCCCTGTGGCCGGTCACCCAGCACTGCTGGAATGAGCTCTGGGGACATCTGCTGACTTGGAGATGTGACAGAGGGACTCAAAGGAGACCTCCATCCATCTCTCTGCAGCCCCTGAGAACAACCCAAGGATCATCTCGAAGACAGTGGATGTCGCTCTCTATAAGGAAGGCAACAGCTTTGGCTTTGTCCTCAGAGGTCAGCGTTAAGGGACAAGAAAGAGGCCACGGCTGTTGGCACGTGCGCTCTGTATGCTTGGTTGAATTTAATAGATATCTTGCTTCTGACTTTGAAGAACCCAAGTTTAGTGTTAAATGGGGAAAATGTGTGAAGCAATGAAGTGTGCATGGTTGAAGGGAGCGAGGCAAAAAAAATGGCTCTAGAAAACAAGGTGAAAGCCGAGGTTGAGGTTGAGAACAGAGTTTGGAGCTAGAGAGCAGCCAGGGAAAAAAGGGAAAAAAGATGAGCTCATAGGAAGGGAAGTAAGCCATTTAAGAGAAAGAGAATTTAGGTCACGTTTCCTATCCCTCTTCCCGTCTCTGGGGGAGCAGGGAGGGCAGGGTTTAGAGTTGGTGTCTCAGAAGAATGGACGAGGTCCTCAAACAGGTTTTACCGAGGAGGTTGTGTCAGGGAATCAGGCAGAGTGGGCAGGTAATTCCTGCATGTTGTTGAATTCTGTCCAGGTGGTGCCCATGAAGACGTGTACAAATCCCGCCCACTGGTCCTAACTTACGTGCGACCTGGTGGCCCAGCAGACAGGTGAGCCTGAGCCAGAAGAAATCCACAACATTGCACTGTGGGGACGTCCCCAGGCTCCTGTGACTTCATGCAGTTCCCCAGATGGGCAGACGGAGGCCAGAGGGGGGAAGCCCCCTGCCCCAAGCCACTCAGGGACCTCATTGGTGGAGTCAGGATGAGACCCCCACACGAGAAAGACCCCCAACACTGTCCTCTCCAGCATCCTTCTGGCTTCGGGTGGGGATCGAGACAGTCTTGGTGCCATTTTTCTGGGGCTCAGCGACTGGCCCTCCCTGGGCCAGTCTGTGACAACCTCCTGTGTCCCAGCTGTGCCTCAGTGCAGCCCAGGAGGGCCAGGACAGAACGTGGGGAAGGAATGTGTCCTGGTCCCGCCCCTGACCCTTGACCTCTGGTGGGAGATTCCTGGCCATTTTAAGAGACTTTTGGCCAGGACTTGTCACAGATCTAAATCTGTCCTTGGAATAGGGCCCTGGAGTCGCTATTCATAGAAGCTCCCAGAATAGCTTTGGCACCTGTTGCCCAGTGTTCCAGGGTGGGGATTGGACCCACATGGAGAAGAACATGCTGGGGCCCCTCCCTAGGGCCCTGCCCAGTGCTTTCCCAGGCCTGTCTCCCAGGCACTGCCTGTCATCAGGCCAGAGTGACTGCTGGAAAGTAGAGTGGAGACAGTGGGAGGGGACCCCTCTGATGCTGTGTGGCCCCAGAAGGACTGACACCCTCTCTGGGCTCTGCTACTCTTCTCTGTCCCTGAAAGCAGGGTGAGTAGCCTTGAAGGACACCTCAGCTCAGCTCAAGCTAGGGCTGGGCCAAGCTAGGGCTGATCTATGGGGTGATGGGTGTCTGAGCTGGTCCAACACCCCTTACCTGCCGTGTCAGCTGCAAAGCTGCCTCACACCACTCACGCCTGTCTCTGTGGTCCTTGCTCCCTCTGAGCCTGCACTTCCTGTCTCTGCAGAGAGGGCTCTTTAAAGGTGGGTGACAGGCTGCTCAGTGTGGATGGGATCCCCCTGCACGGGGCCAGCCATGCCACCGCCCTGGCCACGCTACAGCAGTGCAGCCAAGAGGCCCTTTTCCAAGTGGAGTATGATGTCACTACCCCTGGTACGTCGGGGCCTGAGAGGGAGGGTTGGGGCAGGCAGGGGCAGTGCAAAGGCTGTGTTACCTCGGACCAGTCACTTACCCTCTCTGAGTCACTCTATAAACGTTATGTGCCAGTGAAGGAAGGTACAGATGGTCTCACAGAGCTGACATTTGAGGGGGAGAGTCAGCAGAATAGGTAATGCTGCATGTGTGTGGCGATGTGTGTGGCGATGATGGCTGCAGAGAGGAAGCGAGTCAGGAATGGCTGGGGGAGGCCCTCTAACCAGGGCGGTGAGACAGGTAGTACATACCTGAGAAAGAGCGTTCCAGGCAGAGTGAATGGAACATGCAAAGGTCCTGAGGCAGGAGCCTGACTGGCGTGTGATGGTGAGGAGGCTGATGTGGCAGCAGCAGATGGAGGAGAGGGAGGAGGCAAGGACGGAGTGGGGTGAAAGGTGGGGTTGGGGACTGTTCGAGGTGACTACAGCAGTCTAAGAGAAAGTCCGTGGTGCTGGACCAGTCTGGTTACAGAGGAGGGGACAGAGGTGTGGTATTCCAAGAATACCGTGAAGGCCAAGTGTGACTTCGTGGCAGCTCCGCGTGGGTGCACAGGCAGAAGAGCCTAGGCTTTCATTTCAAGCCCCTGGCTGGTTCACAGAAGTGCTCTGTATTCTGAGCCAAAGACCAACCATAGCCAGTGTTATAGTTCTGTGCTGGTATACACACAGCAGGCACTCAATAAATGCAATGAATTAGCATTGCCCAGCAAAGCCCTGGGGTCTGCCCCCTCACACCAGGACTCCCTGTGCTGCTTAGAGGCCACCTTGGTTTTCCTGCCCGTGAAGTGGGTACAGTCACCCCTTTCAGGCAGCAGGGGTGAACCGGGACAGCAGAGTGAGGCTTTTCTCTGTTGTGCTAGACACAGTGGCAAACGCTTCAGGTCCCTTGGTGGTGGAAATAGCCAAGACGCCGGGATCTGCCCTGGGGCTCTCGCTTACCACCGGCTCCCACCGGAACAAGCCAGTTATCACCATTGACCGTATCAAGCCAGCCAGCGTGGTGGACAGGTGAGGCGCTGGGTGCTGACACCACAGGTATGCAAGGGGAGAGGTGGCCCAGGGCTCTGGCCTGCTGGAGCAGCACCGCCCTTCACTCCCCTACCTGGACAGGAGCGGCGCCCTGCACGCTGGGGACCATATCCTGTCCATCGACGGCACCAGCACGGAGCACTGCTCACTGCTCGAGGCCACCGAGCTCCTAGCCAGCGTATCGGAGAAAGTGAGGCTGGAGATCTTGCCCGTGCCCCAAAGTCGGCGGCCCCTGAGGCCCCCAGAGGCAGGTGGGCCCCCAGCAGGTCTCAGGGCCCAAACCCCAGGGCCAGTGGGGAGGGGCACAAGGAGGAGGGCCCCAAGACCCAAGCCTTGAGTGGGCTGGAGGGACTGTGTGAGGCCAGTGTGACTACTGTCCCTCTCCACAGAGAAACATAGGCCACTGAGGCTGGGAGAGGTGGCGGCTAAAAGCCCCATAGCTGAGGCTTTAAGCTCAAAAGAACTAAGTGACTTTTCCAGGTTCCAGAGCTGGTCAGCAATGGAACAGGATTCAGCCCTGGCAACTGGCTCCAGAGCTAGCCAAATGGGCTGGGCAGTGCCCAGCAAGGCAGGGTCCATGGCAGAATCCATTGAGTCCTCCCCTGTCTTTCCCAAGACAGGCCAGGGCAAGCTTCCTGGAACCTGCTGGGAGGATGAGGGGGTACAGGGCCCCCGAGGCTCAGGAGTCCTGGGAAACAGATGCCCAGGACAGATCAAGCAGGGTGCGGAGTTTGGTGGGGCAAACTCCGATCCAAGGCTGCCCTGCTGGATGGCAAAGGTGGCCAGGCCCTCCTGCCCTACCATGTGTTCAGCCACCTGTTAAGGCTGTGATGCTATCCCGGGGCCCCAAGGGGCTGCATGGGCACTGTCCACCAGCTGTGCCCCCACCCATCTTTTCTGTGGGCAGCACTCACAGCTGGGAACCTCTTGCTCAGAGATGGGGCCTGGGTTGAATCCTGCTCCCCCAACTGCCCTGCCTGTCCCTGTACGGGGAGCCTGGGTCCAGCACCTCGCCTATGTTCAGTGCCTCCCCAGTTTAGGAAGTGTCAGGGTCTTTGGCTATTTTCTCCTTCTACTATGGGCCATGGGGAGCCCCTCTGGCCCCCACAGCACCCCTCTCCTCTTACCCTCCATGGCCACAGTACGAGTGCAGAGGAGCGAGCAGTCACACCGCTGGGACCCCTGCGTGCCCTCCTGCCACAGCCCAAGGCCCGGTCACTGCAGGACACCCCCCTGGACTGCCCCGGTGGGCCAGGACCAGAGCCGATGTAATGTACCGGCCCCAAACTGCACCAGCCCCACTCGCCCCTGCCTAAGGAGGGGGACCTGCCCATTGTCACCCAGCATGTCCCCTAGAGACCTAGTGGGGGTCCACAGGGTCTGTGGAAACCCCAGTCTTTGAGGCCTAGGGGGAAGAGACCCATCTGAGGTCCCACGGCTTCCATGGGGCCCTGTGGTCAGGTGGCTTTTGGCCCCCTGCAGCAGGCTGGGCCCTGCTGGGGATCACAGGGCTGTGCTCTGGTCTCCCCAGCCTTGTCCTCCACTCCCTTTTCCTCGCCGACCATGAACCACGACTTTCCCTGCACCAATGCCAGCACCCTGGCCCGGGGAGCCCAGCCTGCGAGCCCCAGGACCATGGCGGGGCGGAGGAGGCAGCGGAGGAGGGAGCACAGGAGCTCGTGTAAGCCAGGGCCCTCTGTGGGACCACCTGGGGGTCCATGCAGGGCCACCAAGGGTGGGGGGGGGTATTCCTGGATGGGAACTGGGTATGATGCAGAATTTTAACTAACACAGCCATGCCCTTGTGCCAAAATGTAGCCAGCCACACAGTGGAGTGGCTCTGTCCTTACCAAAAATTGAAATCCTGACCCCGACCCCATGGAGACAGACTCCAAAAACATGATGCTAGGTGAAAGCCGCCAGCCACAGGGGACCACATATGTGTGACGCCATTTCTGTGAGGTACTCACAACGGCCCAATCCACAGGGTCAGAAATAGGTTGACAGAGCCAAAGGCTAAGCAAGATGGGAGGATTGTGGCAGGAGATACAGAACAGGGTTTTTTGTTGTTGTCCTTTTGGGTTTGTTTGTTTTTTTGTTTGTTTGTTTTAGAGCTGGCCTGGGACTCACAGTCCTCCAGCTTCAACCTCCTGAGTGTTGGGATTGCAGGCATGCTCCCCCAGCCTGCTTAGGATTCCTTTTTGGGGTAATGAATGCGCTCGCATTGATTGTGGTGGTGTCTGCACAACTAAAGTTCCCGAGTGGTACACCTTGAATGTGTGTCTGCTGTGGCGTATGAACTGCATCTCATAAAATATTACAAGAAACATGAAGCAGCATAGCACAGACCATAGAATGTAACTGCTTACCCCCTTTTGCTTTCCATAGTTTCAGTTAACCATGGTCAACCACAGCCCGAAAATACCAAATGGAAAATCCCCAAAATAAACAATTCACATGTTTTTAAATTGTGCACAGCTCTGAGTATCATGACAAAACCTCACACCGTTCCACTTCATCCAGCCCAGGATGTAAATCATCCCTTTGTCCCGCTTATACACGCTGTATACACTACCCACCTGTTAGTCACTCCGTAGCTGTCTCTGTCATCAGATTGACTGTTGTAGTAATGCAGGGTGGTGTTCAGGTGACCCTTATTTCACTGAATCATGACTCCAAGGAGCAAGAGTAGTGATTGTGGCAATTTTATGACACTGTATTCTTCTAATTATCCTATTATTTATTATTAATCGCTTTCTGTGTCTAATTTATAGATAACCTTATCAAAAGTGTGTACATGTAGGAGAAAACAGTACCATAGGGTTCAATATTATCCCTGGTTTCAGGCATCCACTGAGGTCTTGGAACATGTCCCCCACATGTAAGGGAAAGCTACCATAACATACTAATGCAGACCCCCAGAACCTCTGTTTTGTATGTTACAGCCCTTCCCCTCCCAGTAGGAGTCATGACCCCATTGTACAGATGAGAAAACTAAGGCAGAGAAGGTGATGATTTGGCCCCATCCCAGGTGGCACTGAGACTCATGTACTTGCCTCTCTGGCTTCAAGACCTCACAAGGGCTTGGGGTGGGCAGCTCTGGAAGGCCTGACAGGGGTCCACTGAGTGCCAGGCCCATCTGTCCCACAGTGTCACTGGCCTCCAGCACAGTGGGGCCAGGTGGACAGATTGTGCACACGGAGACCACGGAGGTCGTGCTTTGTGGAGATCCCCTCAGTGGCTTTGGCCTCCAGCTCCAGGGTGGCATCTTTACCACTGAGACCCTGTCCTCCCCACCCTTGGTGCGTTTCATCGAGCCTGACAGCCCTGCTGAGAGGTGAGCCTGCTGTCCCTTCCCACTGGGCCTGCAACTCAGGGGGCTCTGGACAGCCAGGGAAACTAAGTCAAAAAACTAAGCCCTGGCTTCACAAGTGTACACCACTTAATCACCATATCGTCCCACTGGCAGCCCTGTTTGATAGCTGAGGAAGCTGGGGCTCAGAGAGTCTGAGTCACTTCCCCGGATCGCACAGCTCATGCATGGGCACCTCTGAACTTGAACCCCTGTGTGCCTTCAGTCAGAGTCCCCTGTTTATACCTTGTAAGGCCACGAGGCCCATCAAAGTCAGGCCCTTAGCTGGGTCACATGACAAATCACCAGAGGATACATAGCCAGTACCAGTGGAGCCGAGAGTCACTCCAGACCAGGAGCAAGGGCCTGGCTTTGGCAGGGGGTGGCATGGGGCTCTAGTTTCCTGATGGAACATCTCTTCCTCTGCCACCGCTGTGGGCAGGTGTGGGCTGCTGCAGGTGGGGGACCGCGTTCTGTCCATCAATGGCATCGCCACAGAAGATGGGACCATGGAGGAGGCCAACCAGCTGCTGCGGGATGCTGCACTGGCCCGCAAAGTCGTGCTGGAGGTGGAGTTCGACGTGGCGGGTGAGTGGGTGGCCCCCACTGTCCCACACACCTTGGAACCCCACCTGTCACTCTTCATCCCACTCCTGCCTGGTGCAGTCGCTCCACCCTGCCCTTCCTGCTCTGTGCCCAGCACCTCCTCTCACCTGCAGTGTACACCTGGGTCCTGAAGTAGAGGAAAGCTGTGGCTGGGGAGGGAGAAATCTCACACACAAGTGTGGCCAGGGTAGAAACTTCAGTGGGGACAGGGGCGGGGGGCACCAGGCAGGGCCTGAAAAGACTCCAGGCTGCTTCTCTATCTGGCTTGGATGGAGAACTAAAACCACGTGGGTCGGGATTCTGGTTCCAGCACTTCTATAATTTTGGACAGGACACTCCCACTCTCTATGTTGTTTTCCCACCTGTAGAATTAGCAGGTAGAATCCCTACAGGAGAAATGTTTGGGTTAAGTGAAAGAGATCATGTGAAAAATCCCCAGCCAAGGCCTAGCGCATAGAGAGTGCTCAGTCAATCTTTGTTGGATCCAAGGTGTGAGTTTGGCCTTGGGGCCCCATGCCAGCTGGCACGTCATGAGGTCTGGGCTCCATCCTGACTCTGCTCTGACTAGCTGTTTGTGGACAATCTGTTCAAGACCTCTGGGCCTCGGTTTCCTTGCCTGCTAAGTGGAAGAAGCAGGGTGGTGTTGGAACAGTGGCTTTCTGGGGGGTCTCTCCTGGCAAGAACAGAGTGGACGTGGGGCTGGATCTTTGAGCTCTCACCATGGGTTTCATGTTACTCTGGGTCCGTTTGTTCACAGAGTCCGTCGTCCCAAGCAGCGGGACCTTCCACGTGAAGCTGCCCAAGAGGCGCGGTGTGGAGCTGGGCATCACCATCAGCTGTAAGTCCCCTACCAGCCCTCCCCACCCCCATCAAGCAGTTCCCGCAGCATGGCACCTTGTGTGGGCCAGGGAAAGGCTCCAGGGTGGGGGTAACCATCTGCAGGGCCTTGCTGAGTGTCCTCAGGCAATATGGAAAGCCTCAGTTTCTCATTCTGCACAGTGGGAGTCTCCTGGCCCTCAGTCAACAGTGAATTATCAGGGCCAACCATGGAGGCTGGGCTGGGTTTTCTGTCTCCCTGTGTGTGCCCACAGTCCACAAGAGGCCTGGAACACAGTAGGTACTTAATTCATGTTTGTCAAAGAAATGAAATGAAGACTGCAGAACACAAAAAGCAAAGTTGAGTTCACAAGCATAGGAAAATTGAGGCTGAGTAAAGCTTGTCTTCGTGTGGCCAATAAGGCTGAACTGTAATGCTTGCCTGGGACATCTGAGGTTATGTCCTCTCGCTGTCCCCTCATTCGTGCCTCCAGCACAGCTGGCCTCCTGGGTGCTCCTGGGGTATTCTATGCTCCTTCCGGCCTTTGCCATGGCTCTTCCCTCTGTCCTCTTCATCACCTCCCTCAAGTCTTTGCTCAAATGTCACCTTGAGGTCTGGGAATACTGTTTGGTGATAGAGCACCTGCACAGCCCTGGGTTTGATCACCAGCACCACAAAGATAAATAAATTAATTAATGAATTAAACAAAATTAAAAGTAACCTTGGCAAGGCCTTCTCAACCACTTGATTTTGGATGGAACTGGCACCACACAGGCCTTTCCTTTTTCTCTTACTCCTCTGCACGCTTCATTGCCTGAGGAACTGCATAAACCTAAATGTTCCTGATGATCTGTGACCCCACACGCTAGATCGCCAGCTCCAGGAGGGCAGGAGGGCACTGTCTATTCACTGCTGTATCCCCCGTGCCCAACACTCAGCGGAATTCTGGATGCACCCGGACACCACCACTCAGCCCTTCAGTCCTTCCAGGGTTGTTTGCTGGGGTATGGGCTGAACAGGAGGAAAAACGGCTGATGCTCACTGAGCACTCGCTACTGCCAGGAGTCATCTGATGTTTGGTGCCAGCGATGCCTAGTTAAATCTCACCACCTCAGATGTGGCCACTGCCCCATTTTACCGAAGGGAAACTGAGGCACAGAGAGGCACCCAGCAAGGAAGCAGTGGGACCTGGACTCTGCATCAATGTTACCACCATCTACCGTAGGCTGAAGTCTTGCAAGGTCAGATTCATGGTCTCTTTCCCCGCAGCAGCCAGCAGGACACGAGGGGAGCCCCTGATCATCTCCGACATCAAGAAAGGCAGCGTGGCACACAGGTAGGCCCGCTCACCTGGGTGAGATGTGTGGGTGGGGCTGGCGCCTGCATGCACAAGGTTCCTTCCCTTCCCTATCCCACCATGCAGGACTGGTACCCTCGAGCCAGGCGACAAACTCTTGGCCATTGACAACATCCGCCTGGACCACTGTCCCATGGAGGACGCTGTGCAGATCCTGCGTCAGTGCGAGGATCTGGTGAAGCTGAAGATCCGGAAGGATGAGGACAACTCGGGTATGCCCTGCCCCTGCCCTGCCCTGCCCTGCCACCTACCCAGATCCCACACCTGGGACCCCTGGGCTCCCAGGGAGCAAGGAGCAAGGTGGGGCTCCTGCTGCCCCTCGGGAAGTAGGTGGAGACTGAATGAAAACATGGAGGGTGTCCCCTGGCTCTGGTGAGGTCTACATGAGCTGAGGAGCTACCTGCATCCTCCAGTTCCCCACCAGGTCTGAGAGTCCGTCAAGAAGCCAGTGGGTGAGTGACTGGTGTGTGTGTGTGTGTGTGTGTGTGTGTGTGTGTGTGTGTGTGTGTGCATTTGTGAGAGCTACAAACTGGGGCCCCTACCTCACCAGACAGGGGCACTTATGAGACAGTGACCAAGAGTCAGGCACAAACAGGTAAACTGGTCAGAAAGGTTGCTGGAGATGCTAAAGGAAGAAGTAAGGAGAGGGGCAAGTGGAGCGTGACCCCGTATTCAGAGGGGAAGAGGGTCATGTGTGAGCAGGTTTCTTTCCTTATTCTTTTTAAGCTGGAAATCTGTTTGTTTTTTTAAATCGTCATCCCCATTGCTGTTATTGTGGGTTGTGCTTGAGATCTGTGTTTTTAAATGTTGGTTCCTTGTGTGTTCTCTGTCTTTTTTCTTCTCTCCATGGTGTTTGGACAGCAGACTGGAAGCAGAAGGTGGCCTCGTGGTCCTCAGGTTGTGGGGTCATGGCACGAGTGAATGGTTGATGGGTGAATGAGTGTATAGATAAGGTGAATGAGTGCCAGGCCTATGGTCAGGGACCTTGTGAGCTGGGGCCCAGCTCCTGCCCTGCCGCTGTCCCTCACAACTGTCCCCTGGCTGTCTGTCCCTTGCAGATGAGCAAGAGGGCTTAGGCGCCGTCAGCTACACAGTGGAGCTGAAACGCTATGGTGGTCCTCTGGGCATCACCATCTCGGGCACAGAGGAGCCATTCGACCCCATTGTCATCTCGGGCCTCACCAAGCGTGGCCTGGCTGAGAGGTGAGCCAGGAATCCATGGGAACAGAGTGGGCCTGGGGCCCCACAGAGAGGGCAAGAGCTGGGATGAGCTAAACTAGATTCCGGCCTGTGTTTCCACATTCACGCTCTGACCAACACTAAGCAAATAAGCCCCTTTCCCTGTCTCAGTGTCAGCAACCCATCTGTAAAATGAGGATGGTGGGTAGCCATGACAGAGGGGGCAGCCAGCAGACCTCCTGGCCCAGGAGGATTGCTGTGCTAATTAACCCTTCCTTTCCCTCCCAGAGTGCAATTCTGCAGTGCCACTGCGTGGCTCTCGGACTGAGTCACAGAGGAAGTGCCCCAGTACTGGGGACTAGCACATGGGGCTTTTCCTGAGGCACTGCTGCCCTCCCCCAGGACATGTCCCTGAGGCGGTGGCAGGGAAGGGCTGTGAGAAGGGAACTGTCCCAGCTGTCCCACGGTTGGCCAGGGCAGAGGTAGAAGAGCTCTGGGTAGGAGAATCCTGGATTTCTCCCAGCAGATGTGCGGGGATGAGTTAGGTGCACGAGGAAAGGTGAGCTCCCTGGCTCGGGGAGGAACTGGCCAGGAAGGGGGCCCTGTTGGGACTGAGGGCAGGCAGTGCCCTGGGGGAGCTGTGTGGACAAGCAGACACAGGCCAATCCCTGATGGACAGGAGCTGGGCTCCCTGGATGGCCTGCTCCTGGCGCGCCCCCTGCCGGACTCCTGGCAGATTGCAGAGGCCTTGGGGACCAGGATGACTGCAAATGTCTCAGCTGGAATGTTTGCTGCATGTCTGCAGGGTACCTGCAAGTGAGGTGCTGAGGCGTGGGGTTGTGCCTTTCCTAGGGGGAGGTAGCTCAGTGCTGTCCAGCAGAATGCAATGTGTCAACTTTCTAGTAGCCACATTCTAAAGGTAAAAAGAAACCAAATGAATCTGAAATATGTATTTACTTCAACGTGTGTTCAATGTAAAATTAGTAACAAAGTATCTTATATATTTTTTCATACTGCTACATCTTCAGAATACGGTGTGTATTTTAGACTTTCCACACATCTTGATTGGGACTGGTCACATTTCAGGGACTCCGTAGCCACCTGTGGCTGGGGGCTGCTGGCACTATATGCCTCCCCGTCCTGGAAGCTGTCATTTCCCTGAGCACCCCCAGGCAGTGCATGGGCTCCACCCTCGGAGCTCCCACTTGAAAGTGACATCTCCATTTGGGGTTCCAGATCCCTGACCCCAGCCCTTGGCTCTTCCCGACCTGGCAGGTACATTCTGAGCTCTGGCTGCAGTTTCTCTCCCACTTCAGCCCTGGCTGCTCACCAGCATTGCCCTCCCTGTTGGCCAGGTACCTGCATTTTTTAAAAAGCTCCCCAGGTAATGGTAATGGATGACCAGGTAGAAAACTACTGGACCAGAGCACAGCCACCACCTGGCCTTATCTGCCCTTCACAATCCTTTGTGAGGCCAACTGGACTCACCCTCCAGGTAGAGAAACTGAGGCTCAGACAGAGAGCAGTACCAAGGGTTTCTGCTGGAGAGAATGAATCCATCCCACGTATCCATCCCTCAATTATAATTAAAAATTAAATAAGTTGTATCCCCCCACCATTTTACAGATGAACGAACTGAGACTTAAAGAAGTTAGGAAACTGGCCCAAGATCACATAGCTAGTATGTGGTATTCAAACCATCCTTAAAACTTGTGCTGGACAATCCCCTCCCGGACTGGCTTCATACTTCTGTTAATCCAACCCCAGATCACACCTTTTCCTTCCCTGCAGCTGGACTTAACTGGAGTCAGCCAGGCCTGGACCTTGGGGCTCCTGTGGAGTCCCTAAGGACTGAGAGCCCCACACACTCTCAGGCCCTGAGGGTCTAACTCCCATCCATTCTCTTTATCTGCCCCTCAGGACTGGCGCCATCCACGTAGGGGACCGTATCTTGGCTATCAACGGTGTTAGTCTCAAGGGCCGGCCACTGAGCGAGGCCATCCACCTGCTGCAGGTGGCAGGCGAGACGGTCACACTGAAGATCAAGAAGCAGCTGGACTGTGAGCCTGGCCCCATCCCTGGGGACCACCCCACCCATGTAGGAAGGCCAGTCCCTCTGTGCCGCCTCATGGAGTCCTGGCCGCCCCCCCAGGGAGGGGGAAGGGGGCCTCAGATGGCTGAGTAGGAGACAAAGAGGGGAGTGACAGCCCATGGCTGCACAGTTGACATGCCCTTAATGGCCTCCTGGCTCTTCAGGTACCCACAGGTGCCTGGTGTCCCTACCTGTGAATGCCTCAGTTTCCCCTGAATACAAAAGAGCCTGAGACTTTGGGTCTTCCTTCTAATCCGGGCTCCACTGTTGCTCACTGTGTGACCTTGGGCATGTCATTCAGCCTCCCAAGCCTCAGTGTCCCCTTCTGTGAAACAGGTTTGCTTACTCGTGTAGCCCATCCGCTTGGCAGCAGTGTGCTGGCCAGGATGCCTGGGAGTTTTCAAACCTCACTGAAGGGGTGAAACTGAGTCTCACTGAGCATCATGGCTCTGAAGTCAGAAGTGGCACCCCTTCCTCCTCCTAGGCCCTCTCCTTCCCCGCAAGTCAGGCAGCCTCAGTGAGGCCAGCGATGCAGACGAGGACCCGCCAGAGGCTCTCAAAGGGGGCCTGCTGGCGACTCGCTTCTCACCAGCTGTGCCCAGTGTGGACAGTGCCGTGGAGACCTGGAGCAGCTCGGCCACAGAGGGTGGCTTTGGAGGCCCAGGTAACAACTGGCCCTTGGACAAGCCTTTGCAGGCCAGTACCTCTGTCTGTTCCTCCGGACCCCTTCTCTCCTCACTAGCTCCATCCTTTGGGGACATTTCCTGAAGGAGACCTGATTTGGCCATCCACCACTCCCAGGACCCCTTGATCCCTGAGCTTAAACCACAGCTCAGCCTTGGATTCAGACCTCCTCACGTGAGCTTAGGAACCAAGCTGGCCTTACTTCTGCTGCCTCCCTCATTCTTATCCCTATGTCTGGCACACAGTAGGTGCTCAATCAATGTGCACTACAACCAGTTAAAGATGGGAAAGAAAACACCCTCCCAGCCCATCCTACAAGACCTGGGTTGCACCTCCAGGGTGTCTTCCCCTGCCTCTGCATGCTGAGGCCCATGGGAGGCATCTGAATCTGGAGCTGCCTTGTAACCTGTGGCCCAGCTCCTGGGAACTGCAGCTCGGGGTACCAGCAGCAAGGCTGGTTTTCACTGGAATGCATACAGTTGCTCTGGTCTGGTGTCAGCATCCCCATCCTCAGCTCTAGACAACTCCTCCCACACCTCTGGCATGACCAAGCCATGCCACCGAAGCCAGGCCAGGGTCCTGGGGCCCCTGTGAACTTTCCTAGACAGCCAGAGGACCAAGAGAAGATGGTGATAGGGGCCCTCAGAGTGCTGGGTGGTCACACGGGCCCTGAGAGAAGCAAAACGCTGTCCATGGTCACCCAGCATGGCTGGAAATCGGGCAGGAAGGAGGGTGAGGTGAGGACAGATGGATGCTGATGTCCATCTCTCCACCTGCCAGGATCCTACACCCCACAGCGGAGTCTGACTCCCCAGGAGTGGGGGCCCAGCAGGCTAAGGAACAGCCCCCTACCCATCGAGCCCCGGAGGACCAGCTGCACCCCAGCTCCTGCTGACGACAGCTTCCCCGAGGAGGAAGAGGAGGAGGGGGACTGGGAGCCACCAACAAGGTCTGTGGTGGGGAAGCTATGAAGGAGGGGGCCATCTGGGAGGGGAGCCAGGCCCTGGGGCCGGGGAGGCGGGGCCAGAAGATTCATCTTCCTGAGGAGGGGAGGGTCTTCATGGGAGGGAGGCATTAACTAGAGTCATCACTGCCAGGGCAAGATGGGGAAAAGGCACTGGTGGAGGGACAGCAGGGCAGAAGGGGACAGCCTAGCTTCTTCCTCCTTTGCTCAGAGGAGCAATGGCAGACACAGAACTCAAGTCCATATCCCCTCATTAGCCCACACTGCTTGATGGCCTCCTGCCAGACCCTTCAGCACATGACCCCAGCCCTGGGCTGTGCAGGTCACCCTGTGTGACTCGGCCTATGCAGAAGAAGGAGGGAAGGCGCTCACAGAGAGTAGGCCCCCTGAGAAATGCACAGCTCCACCCGCTGTCTCTGTGTCGGTCGTCCCATCTGCTGTCCTGGGAGTTCCCACACCTCCCTCAAAGTCCAGCTCCAATTCCCCGCTCTGGGAGCAGCCTGGCTTTCTCTGGGAGAAGGAATTCCGTTCCCCTTCCTCTGCTGTCCACGGCTGCTCACCTGCCACGCTGTGTCCACCTGGTTAGTTAGCTGACACTGTGTTTTCTGCAGGCACTCCCAGCTAGCTTGGGAACTCAGGCAGCACTCAGACTCCTCAGACTCCTGTGTGAGTGAATCACTGGCTCTGCTTCCCTGCCCCAGGGTGGCCTGAGCTCAGGCAAGGCTGGGAGAATTGACGTGAGCAGAGAGGACGCCCTAAGCCATGCTCTTTCCACCTGTGAAGTGGGAAGGGAAGGAGGCGAGTTTTCCGCCTCCACGTGACCACCACGCTACCTGTTGCCTTTCGAATGAGTCTCAGTGTTTACTGATGATGGCCACACAACGGGGGCTGGAAGTGATGGGTGGCCTCTACCCCTTCCCTAGCACAAATATGCCATCCTCTCCATTCATCTGTGTCTTGGCTGGCTCCAGCTCTGTCCCCGTCACTGTCCCACAGTGCCATGTGTCTGGGTGGGACCAGGGACTATGCTCTGGGGCTATACCATGGATCTCCTCTCTGTCTGTCTGTCTGTCTGTCTGTCTCTCTTCCCAGGCGTCCTGTGTCACCGTTCTCCACCCCGTCTCATCTGCCCCTGTTCTAACTGGCCACCGACAGTCCTGGTCGCCCTTAACTGCGTCTCCCCCTTCATTCTGTGTCACTGCCCTGGGGCCCCAGCACTGCCACCAAGGACTCCCGCCTGCCTGCCTGCCCACCCTCTGGCCCCTTGAGCCCGACACTGGGCTCTGGTTGCTGAAGACCGTGAGGCCCAGCCAGCCGCCCACCCACCGGCCAGGAGTTGACGCTGTGGTTCCTACGTTACAGCCCAGCCCCCGGCCCTGCCCAAGAGGAGGGCATCTGGAGAGTGTTCGGAGAGGCCCTGGAAGACCTGGAGTCGTGTGGCCAGTCAGAGCTGCTGAGGGAGCTGGAGGTATGGCGTCTGGTCTGCAAGCCTGCGGGGGAGGGCGGAGGCAATGTATCTGAGCACACTGGGGTAGGCGCGGGGGGCAGGCTGCACACAGGTGAACCGTGCCCGCATGTCAGGGGGGCATTTATGCTCTCACCTGGGCGCCCTGGGTGTAAAGGGGTCTTCACAATCTGCAGAGCGCACTGCATGAACAGTCCTGCGAGTGGGCCTGAGAGGGCGGAGGTACATGGCACACTGGCACTTGTGAACTTGCGGACATGTCTGGCCTCATGTGTGTGCCCTGGGAACCCATGCATGCACACATGCAGTGTGTCTTCAGAACACGTGTCTGCACGTGTGCATGTGCACGCACTGGGAAGTTTTGGTGTCTGTGGGTGCATGCACACATGTGCACGTGCAGGTGTTGGCATGAGGGTCGACACAGGAGATGGGGGACTACGGGATGCCAGAGGTCACTGCAACTTTGGCTGAGGCCAGCACTGCCTGCCCACAGATGGGTCCAGGAGGACCTGAGTCACTTCCAAGGCTCTGTTCTGGGTACAATTTGATTTAATTTTGATTAAATCTCTGCTTTATCTGTGCTTTTACCCCCATTACCCCCTCATCAGTGGTGTCAATTACAGGCCTCCTCAAAGAATCAGTTTTTGGTTTTGTTATCATCCATGTTTCATTGTTTTCTATCTTACTCATCTCTGTTTAGCATTGTTCTCTTCCTTACGCTTTTTTTATATTTAGGTAATGATACTTTTCTTGGTTTCTTAGCTATTTAATGTTCAGTGTTTCTTCTTTTCCCACACAGTACATTTTTAAGGCTATGAATTTACCTGTAAACACTACTTTGGCTCTGATCCTACAAATTTTAATTCCTGGTACTCTTATTATCCACTCGTTTTAAATATTTTAAAGTTTTCCACTGTCATTTTTATTTAAACACTTGAGTTCTACAAAAATGGGGTTTGGGTTTTGGGCAGCTTGTTTTTGTTTTTATTTGTTTAATTTATTTTATTGTTTAATCCAATTTTAAAAAACCAAGCCAGGCACCAGTGGCTCACGCCTGTAATCCTAGCTACTCAGAAGGCAGAGATCAGGAGGATTGCAGTTCATGAGACCTTATCCTGAAAAAAAACCATCACAAAGAAAGGGCTGGTGGAGTGGCTCAAGGTGTAGGCTCTGAATTCAAACCCCAGTACAGCAAAAAAAAAAAAAAAAAATTATATTGCTTTTTAGATTTTTATGATGCTTGCCAGAGGACATTTGATTCTTTGGAATTTGTTACGACTTATTTCTTTGTGGCCTAGAATGAATCGGTTTTAGTAGCTTTCTCATGCTTGCCTGCAAAAGAATGTGAATTCCCTTTTATTGGTGTAGGGTAGATCAAGATTGTTAATACACTTTTTCAAATCTAGGTCTTTACTAAATTGTCTATGCTTCCCAATACACCTCCCTCCCCCCGCCCCTGGCAACTCGTATCTACTTCCTGTCCCTGTGGGTTTGCCTGTTCCACCTACCTCATGTACATGGAGTCAGATCCATGACCCTTTGTGTCTGGCTTTTTTCACTTACTTTAATGTTACAGTATTTATCAACAGCTCATTCCTGAATAACATTCTGTTACATGGATATACCACACAATATTTTTTTGGTTTTTTTGGCTGTACTGAGATTTGAACTCAGGGCCTCGTGCTTGCTAGGCAGGAGCTCAATCACCTGAGCCTTGCTCTAGCCAACCCAACATATTCTCTTTAAAAGAAGCAGACCTTAGTCTTAGCTTTTTTTTTTTTTTTTTTTTACAGTACTGGGGTTTGAACTCAGGGGCTATACCTTGAGCCACTCCACCAGCCCTTTTCTGTGAAAGGTTTTTTTGAGACAGAGTTTTGCAGAACTATTTGCCCGGGCTGGCTTCAAACCTCAATCCTCTCAATCTCTGCCTCCCTAGTAGCTAGGATTACAGGTGTGAGTCAGCGGTGTCTGGCAGGCCTTAGCTTTTTCATTTTCCTTACACTGTCTAATCCACACTTTTCTCCTCCTTAATAACACAGGTGCTTTTGAATGCACTAAGCTTCTTTTCAAACCATCTCCTTCCAGCTCTTGACTTGTTCATAAAGATTGTTTTAGCCAATTCTTATTTAGTCTTACCAGAATGTTTGGCTAATTTCTTCACTCACCGTTGCTTCTTGTCTCCTACTCTTCCCTTACGAGTTCATCTTTCAGGTTTTGTGTTCTGAAATGTCTGTTTCACTACAAATCTTGAATGATAGTTTAGCTGGGTATAAAACTTGTGTTTTTCCCAGGGCTTAAAGGTTCAGTGATCTCCTGACCCACTGTAGCCTTGGAAGCTCCCTTCTGTACCCAGGTGCCAGAGGGCAGACCCCTGCTGGTCAGCTTCTTCCCTGAATGCCACCTAACTCCTAATGTATGTTTGGGGCTCAGTACCTCCCTTGGGCCACTTAATTTCATAAAGTAAATGATTCCACTCTTGCTTATGCTTGTCTCCAAGTTTTTCCTTCTTGCTTTGAAAGTGTTTTTTGGGTTTTTTTGTTTTTTTAAATGAGCCTAAGTCTTTGTGTTTGTCAGGAATGAGAGCTTCCCACATTATCTCAGTCTGCCTCTTAAATGCACATCCTAGACTCCTGCAATTCTAAGGGTCCAAGAGTCTGGGATACTTCTTGACTCTTCTGATTCTACTTCCTGATTCTACTTTTTATCTTATCCCAAGATACCAAGTCCCTGGTCTTTCCTGCTGGACCCTGGCTGTCCAGGTGGGTGAGGACCAGGTGTAAGATGTGAAGAGGGAGCCTTCCTACTGCTCCTCTGAGGTCCTCCCTTTGGTTTCCTGTCTTCCCTCTGCTCCAACCAATAGTGTGGCACTTGAGACGGTGCCACACTATCTGCCTCCCCTTAGGGGGTCTCTAAAAGACACTCCTCAGCATCAGACAGAACTGTGGACTAGTCATGGAAACCCAAATACTGTGATGGACTGGAAGAGGAAGTTTCAAGGCTGTGGAGACGACTGTGTTTCTAGAAAACTGAATGATGTCACCTGTAAGATGTCCATCCTCTTGTCCTGGTGCCCCAGTGGCCCTGGACCCCATCTGCGGGTGGTCCACAGAATGTGAATAGAGTACCCTCAGCCACAGGTTCCTTGTTCTCAGCTTCCAGCTCAGCATTTCTGACTGCCCACCCCTCCTTCAGCTCACCTGTCCATTTACCTCCAAGACATGCCATAACCTTCCCTTGCCCCCATTGTTACCATCCTGGTCCAGACTGCCGTCATCTCTTGCTTGGATAATTCCATGGTCCCCAGCAGATCGCTCCCCTTCCATTCCCACCTCTGCAGCCTCCACGCACCCTAGCATGTTCACCTTCCCCACCTGACTGAATCCTCAGGATCTCCCTGATGTTGCCCGAGGAGAAGGTTCACATTCTCGCTGGAGGCTAGGGCACTGAAAAGCTGAGGCCTTGTCCTCTAGGATCACTGTGTGTCCTCTCTGTCCCCAACCGCAGAGCTTCTTCCCACCCCACCCCACCCCTGGGCTTTGCAAAGTTTGGGCATTGCACACACTGTTCCTTCTGCCCAGGATTCTCTTCCTCCAGAAGCGTTCCTGATCCCTCACACTGTCTTGGCTCTCTCTTCCTGTGTACCTTGCCTGTGTCCCTCTTACCATTTTCCTATTTACGTTTGTGATTAGCAACAGAGCAGTGTGGTTAAGAGGTCGACTTTGCAAATCTTGCTAAGCCTGTTTGCTTATATACAAAACAGGAGAAGATGGTACATACCTGCCTCATGATTGCAGAGAATAAAATGAGCTATACTTGTGAAGTGCTGAGGCCCGAACCTAGCACAGAGCGAGTGCTAATAAACACCAGAGGTGATGATTCTGATTGCTAGTGTGATTGATTAATGACTCCCACCCCTGCTCGCACTGTGACCTGAGGCTGGCACCCAGTAGGTGTGGGTAGATGCTGACTGCCTGGTGGAGCATGTGAGTGGGTACTGAGAGATGGACCGTGTCCCCACAGGCCTCCATTATGACAGGCACTGTGCAGAACATGGCCCTGGAGGGCAGGCCTGGCCCCCGGCCCTGGAGGAGAGGCCGGGAGGTCCGAGCGTCCCCTGAAGACCTGCAGGAGCTACTGTTGCCAACACCCTTGGAGATGCACAAGGTGGGTGCTGAGGGTGGGCACAGAAGGTCTGGACTCATGTCATGGGGCCACAGGAAGATGCCATGGACTCTGAATGACCCTGCCCTAAACGGGCTTTATTCTCCTCCACCATAAAACTGGGATTTTGTACTAGGTTGGAATTTCCATAACTCCTACCATTTGTTTGATAAGCACACATGTACACACACACACACACACACACACACACGCACCTGTGATACACAGTGGGCTATTAATACTTTTCTGTAAGTAGATTTGTGAGCCAGGTGTGGTGGTGCATGCCTGTAGTCAGTCCCAGCACTCTGGAGGCAGAGGTAGGAGGATCACATGTTCTAGGCCAGCCTGGGCTACATATCAAAACACACCCTCACCATAAAAAAAAAATATGGTTTTATTCCCACTTAAGTGTATACATTCATATGTGCACATACAATTATATATAGATACACACACATACATACATACATATTACACATATATAGACATGTGCACTGGTGTCTATACTGCATTCAGAGATTCAACCAACTACAGATCAAAAATATGCAGGAAATAAACTCTGTACTGAATGTATACAGACCTTTTCTGGTCATTATTCTCTAAGCAGTACAGCGTAACAACTATTTATAAAGCATTTACCTTGCATGAGGTGTTTAGGAGTGATCTTGGGGTGACTCAGAGTATTTGGGGAACAAGATCTGGGTAGGTTGATGAAATACTGTACCACTGTATGCAGAGGTCATGGGTAGCTGCAGACTTGGGGATCCACAGAGGGTCGTGGGGTCAGCCTTTCGGATATGAAGGGACAACTGTATATCACTCTGCATACATAGCACACCTTTCCATCACTACCTGAAGTGAGATGCCAGCATCTCTTGCCAGCCGTAGGTGGCAGAGCAGAAGACACCTGCAGCCTGCTCTGTGAGTGGGGGACACCTGGTGCTGGCTGGGGTGGCGAAGACACAGCTGGTCCAGCTCAGGCTCTTCCTGCACCACTGAGGCACTGCACACACACATGTGGAAAGCCAGGCCCTTTCCAAGAGGCCCGGGGTGTTAGGCCAACGCTGTGACCTGAGGCTCTCATGGCAGCCAGGAGGACACCCTGGGGAGAGGGCTGACCTGGACCCCAGGGGCACCAAAGGCCAAACCAAGTGATTGGGGGTACAGTGGGGACTGGGACCAAGGTGGAGCCCCAGGGATGCCCTCCTCGTGCTCGCAGGTGACCCTACACAAGGACCCTGTGCGGAACGACTTTGGCTTTAGCGTGTCAGACGGACTCCTGGAGAAGGGTGTCTACGTGCACACAGTGCGCGCTGATGGCCCGGCCCAGCGCGGTGGCCTTCGGCCCTTTGACCGGCTCCTGCAGGTAAGGCTGGTCCCCAGCCTTCGAGGTTGTCCTCATCCAGGCGCAGCTGAGGGACACCAGGGTCACCAACACCTCCTCCATGCCTTTCTCCCTCCCCAGGCTACTGGACATGCTAGCACCAAGGTGCGACTCACCCATATCCCCTGGGCTGAGGCCCCACTCCCCGGGTTTCAGGAGGGTCCCCATCCTACAGCTGCCACTCCCCTCCAGACACATAGGCACAGAAAATGAGACATTCCCCTCCCCCCTTCACCTAGACACACCAGTCACATTCCTTCACATCCCATTGGTCAGAATGAGTCATGTGACCTGCCTAGCAGCAAGGGAGCCCAGGGCACATGTCTGTGTGGCCAAATGCCCTACTCAGTCACCTGGCATCACCTGTCCCTGTCCCCAGCTATTTCTGTTCCTTCACTCTGATGTTCTCCATATTTCTTCTAAATTTACTTAGCTTTTTTTTTTCTCTCTAAATTGATGGGTTTTTTCAACTTAACATTTATTTTCACGGGAAATTTTTCATCTTTGTTAGGAATGAAAAATCAGCATCCTTTACTCAAAGTTCGAGGTAAAATACAAATAAAATAGGAACAAGGCACTGTCACAGAATTCTAGGCAAGAAACCGAGTGTGTGGTCTGCTTTTGGGGATTGAACCCAAGGCCTTGCACATACGTGGTCTACCACTGAGCTACACCCAAGGCCCTGTGGTCTGCTTTTTATGTTAAAAAGGGAAAGAAGCAGGCATTAGAGGGGCCTTGAAAGATATACTGGCACCTCTCTAGAACTTTCTCTTTTATGACATCTAAACGGAAGGATTGAAAAAGAGTTAATGAAGACTGACCTCTTAATGTAAGCTCCAAGATTTACCCTTGTGACTGGGCTGGAGAAAGCCCACATTTTGGGAAATCATTTTGGGAAATTCCCTCTTCAGCCAACTAAGCTGACTCTTTGCTCTGCCCTTGGCTATGCACTGTGCAGGTCAACCATGTTCGCACGCGAGACTTTGACTGCTGCCTGGCAGTGCCACTCCTGGCTGAGGCAGGTGACATCCTGGAGTTGGTCATCAGCCGCAACCCCCTGGCACAGAGCAACCGGACTTCACAAGGTCCAGGTCCCAACAGTCCCCGGATGCTCTGAAGTCAGCACACGGTCTGGACAGCATGTGGCTGGGCTGGAGAAGTGGACACCCACTCGTCTATCTGTGGTTCTGGAGATTCCAAGTGAGGAATGGGCCTTGGTCTCTGCTCCCCTGTTCTGTGGTTACTGGGGTGCCAGGCAATGAAGTCCCTCCCTCCATTGGAGTGACAGCTGGTTTTCACCAACTCAAGTGTCCAAGATGCTCAGAGGAGCCCACTCCAATGAGGTCGGGACAGGCGGCTCATCTGAGGAGCGAGGCTGAGGTGTGTGTGGATGGTGGGTGGGTGGGGTCCTAGGTCCATTCAGGGCCTCCTTGCAGAGGACAGGAGTTGGGAAAGCCCAGCTCAGTGTGGGGAGCTGGAATGAGCTTCCAGGGAGGAGGAATGAGTTCCCTGTCACAGGTGAACGCGCGAGAGCTGGGTCTCCCAGTGAGTTCACAGCCTGAGGCTTGAGGTGATCGTCTGTGGACCCAGGTGGTCATTTTCCTAATGGGAAGAGCCACCTCATCCAGAGACCCTGCCAGTAGGAAGGACGAGGCCTAGCGAGAGCCAGTGTCTTCCTTGTTCCTAAATCCTGGCGTTTGGGGCTCTCGGGTTCTGACAGCCAGATTCCTACCATCTCCATTCAGGAGACCCTGGTGGGAGGCATCTGGGGTCCCAGGAAGCTCTGGCCTCTTCATTCTGAAACTTGGTGGTTTGATCCTTTCAGCTTCTGTGACTTGGGTCAGGTGGGGTCCCTAGGCAGCCTCAGTGTCAGACTGAGGGCTGTCAGCCCACCTGCCACAACTCACACCCCTCAGCCCTCCATGAAGGAGGGGAGCATTTGGGGTCAATACACCCAAGGAGGTTCCATTCGCCTGCCATTCCCGTGAATACTGGAAAAACATGGACATACGGGTGGAGGTGAGAAATGGTGCATTCCTCCCAAGTGCAAATTGGTGAAGGAAAAAGAGTTGGGAAAGTTCGGTCCCACTTGAAATCTGGTTGCACCGGCAGCCCTTAACGTCATTGTCCTGTGTCCACAACATAGAGAAAGGCCCAGACCTTCACTTGGTAGTCAGGGCTGTGGCCTCTGAGAGGTGGGCAGGGTTCAGCCTGTCTGGGTATTGGCTTTGCCCCAACCCGGCTCTTCATAGGGTCTCAAGAAGACAGAGGCCTCCATTCCCACCTCCACCCTTTTCTACCCCTGGGGCCCATGGAGGCCAGAAAAACACTCTTCTGCTCAAGGCTGATGGACAGAGAGGCCCTTCCTCTTCGCCCTGGTTCCCTCGTTGGCTGACCCCTTCCAGATCACCTCCTAGTCTGGACAATAAAGGGGACAGTCTAAGCAGGTACAGGTTTCATGGTCAAGGCCAGGACCATCTCCACCTGCCCGCTGAGACCCCTTCGGCTCCCTGCCCACTCTCCCTCCACTTCCCCAGCCCTGCCCCTCGATGGTACCGCCTGGAAGGCCCTGAATGCCTGCAGCTGGGTTGTCCTGTGCTTCTGCCATCTTGGATTTCTGTGTAAACATCCACACCAGGGTGAAAGAGCAGTGTGCATTCCTCACAGGGGCACCAAACAAAAGCCAGGAGCCCTCAGCTTTGAAGGCCAGTGGATGGCACAGCAGAGATGGCTCCTGACTACCAATAGCCACAGCTGTGTGACCTTAGGCACGTGACTCTGGGCCTCTGCTAAGTAACATGGCTGGACTGGACACTCAGGGCCTCTCGGTTTGGGAAAGCGGCATTCATTTCCAGGATGGGAGGACACGAAGCAAGGGAAAACACATCCAGTCTGACCCTCCTTGGGCTGAGGCCTCTGCCATTCTCCCAGACATATGCAATCAGGCCTGGCAGCGGGTGGACCTCCTAGCCTGACCAGCTGGCCTCCTCATATGCAATATTCCCTCTGGCTTCTCACAGGGGTGTTCGGCCCAGACCTGACATTCCCGATGCCCTCCCCAGCAAGCCTGCCTGCCTATGCATTTTGGGTACCACCCCTGTGACTTGTCTCCCACCCCCAAAGCTGTATTTTTCTCTGGCTGAAATTAGAGCATATGCCTTGTAAAGTATTTTTCTACTCCGGGTTCTTAGGGCTCTGGGAAGCACAAATGCCGTTTGCGGTCTGTTTGGGGCCCATGTGTAAATCTTTGACCTGCTGGGGGCTGCAGGGACCTGGGGGGTGCTATTGGGGTGAATTTTTAATAAAACTATTCAGATGCACTTAAAGGCCACTTGCTTTTTTAAACCCATGGGCTGGCAGGGTCAGCTTGCATGTGAATCTGTTAACGTTTCACCTGCTTTTAATTCATTCACTTGCAAAGTCTGTCGTTTACTTAGCATCAAGTAGCCCTGGATATACACTCTGGACAGACAGACTGAGGTCCTGTCTGTATATTCTATGGAGGACAGTGAGCAAGTCATAAAGAACTGTTTCAGGTCTGAAGTACAAGGAAGAAAATAAAACAGCTCCGGAACAGAGGGGTTGGGGTGAGGGACTCCAGCTCAGGGAGTCAGGAAGGACTTCTCAGAAGAGGTGACATTTGCAGTAAGAGTTACAGAACAGGTCCTGAGTTCTAACCCCAGTGCCACCAAAACAGGGGCCAACCATGTGGAGACCTGGAGGAAGTGTTCCAGGTAGAGGTACAGTGAGTGCAAAGGCCCTGAGGTAGGAATGAGTTTGGCAGGTTCTAGGAAGAGAACAGAAGCCTGGAGATTGGGTGTGGGGGGCCTTCTATGTGCAGGCAGATGAGTGGTAGGTCACTGCATGAAATCCAAACTGGGTGAAGAAGGGCCAGGCAGATAGCCTGGGGGTCTAGCTATTATCCAGTCTCCAGAGGGTGCCCAGGGCAAGATGAGGGTGCCAGAGGTTCTGGGATCCAAAGAGCAGGACCAGGCCTCATTGGGGTACCTGCCAAGTACATGAGCACAGAACGGCTTGTTCCCACGAGCTCTCAGGAGGGGAGTGAGCTCCCTATCTCCAGCAGGATGTAAATGGGTAAAACCAGGAGGCAGACCATTCATTCACCCAGCAACACTGCTCTGAACGCTCTGAAATAACTCCTGGAGCCTCCAATGGCCTTCAGAAGTGGCTTTGCAACCACTTGTGGCACGTGAAGAAGCAAGGCCCAGAGAAGTCAAGTCACTTGCAGCAGGGCACAACCTAACTAGAGCCAAAGTTTGAACACAAGTCACATGGCCAGGACACACAGAGAGAGGGAGGGAGATGAGACAGTGGGTAAAAATGGCGACAGGGAGGGGTTTTATTCTAACATGATCTCCGACCAGGTCAACATAGCCCATGAGCCTGCAGACCTGGGTGTGCATCCTGTGTGCCCTGGAGCAAACTGCTTCCTTCCTGAGCTTCCTCTCTAACCTGAGGAGTGACCATCTCTCATCTGAAATCCAAAACTTTTTGAGTGCTGATGTGATGCTGTCAGGTCACAGTCAAAATGCAGATGTGCTAAAAATATTTTACAAAATTACCTTCAGGCTGTGTGTATAGGTGTATATGAAATATAAATGAACTTAGTTTACACTTGGGTCCCATGGAATCTTATTTACATATGCAAATATTGTGAAATCTGAAACCCTTCTGTGCCATAGCATTTTGAACCCACTTTTGAGGATCTTCCTGGGTTGGACTATAGGCTTTTTTTTTTTAAATTTTTTAATTTTTCATTGTTTTATTATTCATATGTGCACACAATGCTTGGGTCATTTCTCCCCCTGCCCCCACCCCCTCCCTCTCCCCCCCACCCCCTCGATACCCGGCAGAAACTATTTTGCCCTTATCTCTAATTTTGTTGAAGAGAGAGTATAAGCCATAATAGGAAGGAACAAGGGTTTTTGCTGGTTGAGATAAGGATAGCTATACAGGGAGTTGACTCACATTGATTTCCTGTGCATGGGTGTTACCTTCTAGGTTAATTCTTTTTGATCTCACCTTTTCTCTTGTTCCTGGTCCCCTTTTCCTATTGGCCTCAGTTGCTTTAAGGTACCTGCTTTAGTTTCTCTGCGTTAAGGGCAACAAATGCCAGCTAATTTTTTAGGTGTCTTACCTATCCTCACCCCTCCCTTGTGTGCTCTCGCTTCTATCATGTGCTCATAGTCCAATCCCCTTGTTGTGTTTGCCCTCGATCTAATGTCCGCATATGAGGGAGAACATACGATTTTTGGTCTTTTGGGCCAGGCTAACCTCACTCAGAATGATGTTCTCCAACTCCATCCATTTACCAGCGAATGATAACATTTCGTTCTTCTCCATGGCTGCATAAAATTCCATTGTGTATAGATACCACATTTTCTTAATCCATTCGTCAGTGGTGGGGCATCTTGGCTGTTTCCATAACTTGCCTATTGCTATAGGCTCTTTACAAACTGTAAAGTGCTTTTCAGATGTGTAGGAAAAACTGTTTTGCCAAAAGACCTAACACATGTTAGATTTTAAAAAGGAAATGTTTATTGTCATGTTATAAGATGATTACAAACTCCTCTAAAAAAAGCAAAGATGAATTTAAAATATCGATATACATATTTATCTAAAAAGCAAAAAAGGAAAAAACCCTGCAAAATACAGGGGTTCATATCATAAAACATTTATACACAAAGCTTGTATACTGCGAGACTGAATTACACACCAAGGATCTTGTTCAAATACAAATGTTCCTCCTCTTGTTGGTTAATTATAGGTTTTTGTTTTTTTTTTTTTGGTTTTTTTTTTGTTAAAAAAGTTTAAAATATCTTAAAAATATTTTGAAGTTTTAAAAAATGTCCTGATGAGCCAGACATATTTCTGGAAGGAGGCAAAACCCTCGTTCTCAGCTTTCTCTTGTGCTAAATACAGAGTCACAGTTGTTGGGGATTGGTAAGATTAACTGGGTTAAAAAAAAAAAAATGGAGCTACAATCTCAATTTGAAACCAAACACATAATACGATGCTCCATCCTTCAGGGAACATGCAAGAACACACCTGTAGTGACGCCAAGAGAACAATAAAAACCAGCTTCCTAGGAGGATAAGGTGTGTTCTAGGCTCAGGCATGGACAGGGAGGGGAGGCAGAGACTTGGGGATGCCCCTGTCCCCGTGTTGCTATTGGGGTTTTCTGGTCTGTCTTGTCTTGTGGCTTTCTACTGGATGGAGGTTTGCACACAGAGGTATTTACAGTATCCATGTGCACAGGGTCTAAGGGCGGGGCAGGACCTGGAGGGGCTTTTTCCCTTGGGTGCCTTCCGGGCTTGTGTCTGCGTCTGGGGGAGAAGGTGAAGGTGCCTCTGCCCTTGGACTGGTTGCTACAGCATTTTGCATCAAGAGTAGTAGTGCCAGGAGAGGCTGGTGGGGCCACAGGTCACAGTGGTGATGCCTGTGGGATACAGGAAGGCCCTGGGGAGGCAGAGGGGGCATGGCCTGCTCTCTCCTTCACTTCACCAGTCTTTGCGGTGAGCTGGGGATGCGGGGTGAGGGCCAGGGACCAGAGAGGCACAGAGGAGAGCTGCACAGGGCTGCAGGGGAGCAATCTTCCAAGGAAGCATGTGAGGCCTGCCTGGGTTTCCTGCTGCGCAGAGAGGGGGTCTTGATTCCCAGCTGCCAGACAGGGAGAGGGTGCCAGGCCGTGCAGATCTAGGTGGGCAGGGTAGGGAGGGCCTGCCTCTCCTCTGAGGCCAGTTTCCTCCTCACTGCCACAGCTTGGGGTCCACTTGGGCCATGCAGACAGTCTGAGGGTGGGGCATGGCTCATCTCATCCTGAACCTGGGGACAGCATTTCCTGTGGTCAAGGTTGTCTTTGGTTATCAGCGAGGGCTCAAGCATCTAACTGGACAGCTCGCCCTCATTACCCACACGTTGGAGAACCTGCAGCTAGACCATCTGGTTCTATGCTTTGCTCATAGGGCCAAGTCCCCACCTGCCCTGGGCCTTAGTTTCCCCATTTACAATGAGGGCATTAGATTGGGACCCTACGGGTCTTTCCGTCACTGACCAGTGGGATCTTCCACTGTGGAAGCTTCCCGGCCCATGATCAAAGAAACATCTCATAGGTTAAGGTTCATGGAACCCCCACCCATTGATTTCCTCATCTCAAAAACATGCATTAGCACCTCCCTCGCTTCCTGTCCAGCTCTGGCAGACTGAGTTATGTGTGGACATCAGAATCTCAGACCTGTCCTAAGCAGATGCTTTTGCTGCTCTGCAAGAGACAGGTGGACCGGAGTGATGAGCTCTAATTAAAAGTGTCATTTATATGGAGACATAGAAATACAAGCATCATTACACACACTACTCACAGAGCCAGGGGGTGGCCAAGGGGGGCAGGAATAGAAGACAGGTGCCAGGAGACTGAGGGATCGGGCTTGGGGAAGTGACTGACCCTTCCGTCCAGGCAGCGCCTGGGGACTTGGTCTATTTGTATCTTTGGTCTAGAATCTGATCTGGGAACTTTATGCAAAGAGGCCTTCCTCAGGCCATCTCCAGAATGTTGCAATTTGTCTACCAACCCAAAATACTGATGCCTTGCACGCAGGTGTGTGCCCGTGGAGGGAGAACAAAGACTGAAATGACCACAGATGCCCAGGTGGCCGTTGCCTGCTAAACCCCCTCTTCACACATCACCTGTCTTCAGTCATTGACAGTGGTTAGTTTACTCAAGTTCCACAAGACAAAAGAAAAAGTTTACACTGCTACTTGGTAAAATTTAAAAAGCAAAAAACAAACCACTCAAATCAAATCAGACACAACAGCGACCATAAATACATAGAAAAATAGCAACATGGGAGAATTGTTGGTTTGGAATAGGACTGGGTGGTGTTTGGCCAAGTATACAGCTTTGGAAACAGAGAAACCTGTACACTTATCAAAGACAAGAGTTCAAGACTTGCCATTAGGAGGGGGACTTGTGACTCCCAAATTTAAGGAGGGGTTTCTAAGGTTGAGGGAGCCCCAGATCTGAAAACCTAAGCCAGACTCCACTCTCTACAACCCTCCGGGCAGTCAATTGCATGACAATGTTTCAGTGTAGGTTAGACTTGGAACTTGGAAGTGACAGTAGAAATGGCACAGTTTAGGTCCAGATGGGGCTGGGTGGAGATCATGTCTGCTGCTGACACTGTAAAGGTTTTGTGACTTCTCTTCTGGTTCAGAGGAATTCAGCTCTGCATGGGACACATGGCAAGCCAGCTCTGGGAAGCCAGCCCCCTGGACAACAGTAACCTTCTGCAAACCTTGCCTTGCCATCTCTCCTTGGTCCCCAGAGAGTGGATGCGTGATAGCGGTTACCGTAGGGCTCAGGAATGAAGAGTTCAAGTCCCAGGTCCCTGCCAAGGCTGCCTTTGTGCCTGAACTCAGAGGAGAATTTTGGGTGCACCTCAAATCCAAGATCCAGCCTCAAAAGCCTCCCTTGGCATTCCTTGCTAGGAGCAAGGGTGGCCCTGGGGTGGCATCTTTTAACAACAGCTTGTTAGGAGCCTCTGGGAGATGAGGACAAAGCTGAGGGTTGGGGAGGGGAAGAAAGAAAAGTGCTCCTCCTGGCACAACCCATTCAAATACTAGGCCACATCCTTTGGTCCCTCTTCATTTTTCAACAAATCCATCGTGCTTGGGAAATTAATGCCCAGAGTCAAACGCAACAGACCCATGCCGGGTGACGTCCTGGGCTGGCCTCGGGCTCATGCACGGAATAGGACACAGCCTTCCCTGCCTCATCAAAGCCTCACAAGCCTCATCAAGGGCTCCCAGACCAGAGCCACTTCACCATCAGTCTCCTGGATCTCCCTCACTGCCCCCTCTGAGACCCACAGTGGTTCTGACAGTCCAACTGACTATCCACTCGCGGTCTCAAAATACAAGGTGGGATTTCCCCAAGTGCAATGGTTTCTGCTGCTCTTATAATCAGACTTCTGCCAGAGGGCTTCATCTTTCTGCTTCAGTCCCTTTAGTCTGAAGGGTTGGCTCATTACTTCGGCATCTCTCTTCTTGGCTAAGACAAACAATGAGGAGTGTCCTTTCAGTCCCCCTCCTGACCCTTGGGGTCTGTCCTCTGCTGTTTATTCCACCTGAACCAGGCTCTGGAAGGAGCTACACCTTTAAGACACATCTGCCGTCCCAGGAAAATTCCTCCCAGTGTTTTTGTGGGGGGCAGAACTTCCTGCCAGCTCTGTAAGCACCGAAGAATTGCTTTTGAAAACAAGATCTATTGCTGGCAAGATAATGGATTCAAGTGCTAAAAGTATGACAATCTCGAAGTGTATAGAGAGTTAATTGTTTAAAAAAAATATACAAAGAAAAGTTTACCAAGTTCCCATAAAATACATCTAATTTAGTATGAAAGGTTGGCCTCTCTCTGGGACATTTGCCCGTTGGTTTTCTTTTTGTACAAAATATCCCCATATCTAAACAAAATACACACACGCACCACGAAACACACACTTGCACGCACACATAGAGTGACATTTTCTGTGACAATTAAAAAAAAAAATCCTAGTGCAAATATAAAGCTCTGTAAACCTGGTCCTATGAGAATCTGTGGTTAGTAAACAGCAGGAAAGCGGCTGGCCCTGTCGCCCGGGAGCTCACATCATGGTCTCCACGACGATGTGCGTCGGTTTCATGAGCGCACCGTTCATGGACTTGCGGGAGTCGAAGGGCACAGCCCCCTCCCGCTCCACGGCCCAGCGGTTGGGCTCCCTGGGGGTCAGCAGGTACTTGACTCTCTGTGGAAGGAAGACAGGAAGGAGTAAGGAGGGAGTGAGCTGGCCTGATTCCTTGGCCACCATCCCCACCTGCCTCCTGAACCTGCCCAGGTGCTGTGTGGTTGTGGCAAACTTCCACTCTCCCTGCACCTCCTGCTCTTTGTTCTTTGAGGAAATAAATTTGTTGGTTAAGGTGATTCCAAGAGCTCGCAGGGCCCTCCTGTCTCCCTGGGCTCTGGGACAAGTTTCCTGAAACAATCCCTGTGTATGCACGAGTAGGGACAAGGGACTGTCACCTTCACATGCTACCTTCTCCCTCCTATGGGACCGAAATGCACCTCTCTAGAATTCCTGCCCTCTCATTTCTCTGGCTTGCAAAGCCACTTGTAAACCTTAGGGTGGAAAGCCGTCTCTGCTCCCCTGGCATCCACCATCTCCATGCACAAACTGCCACCCCTCTGCCTGCCCGTGAGCTGCGTGTGCTGCCCCCGTGCGGACAGGCTCCCCAGCTCTCTGCAGTGTCTGCTTCTCCTGCAGCTTTGCGAGCTCACTGGTGGCGTCTCGGGTCACTCTGGGCAGGGTGAGCTTTGCCCTCCCAGTGAGTCACCTGACCAAGGAATCAGTGAGGGAAATGAGCCCTCTCCAGGGCCACCAGAAAATCAATGGCAGACCTGCACTGGGGACTCACGGCTCCTGCCTCCCGGCCCACCCCGTGTCACACATCTGTTCAGACTTTCATAGGCCAACAACCTATGGAAAAGTAAAAATTTAACAAAAGTTTAATTAAAATTTAAAAACAAACAAAAACAAATATAGAAGAAAAAAGCATGAGTGAGGCCCTGGGTTTGATCCTTAGCACCACCGAAAGAAAAAAAAAAATTGATTATTAAGAGCTTACAAACTTTCATTTAAAAATCTACACTTTCATTTTCTCTCGGACAAACGACAAGATCCAGCAGCTCCAAGCCCACACCCCCTTCCCGGCCGCAGTGGCCAGAGATCTACCCCACAGCTGCCCACTGCAGACTCGGCATGACTGCCTTGCTCCAGCCCTGCCTCAGCAGTTTCCCTGTCCCAGCCGCTCATCCCTGGACCGTCCACACATCTGTACCGTGGGCCATGGAAACAGACGGGGGACAAGGGGCAAATGCCATAGGAAGCCGGGTGAAGCTTAGTCTACACAGGAGGCTTGGCCTTAGCTGGAAGCTTCAAGGGACAGAGACCGGTATGCCAGAGCCTGCCAAGAGGACCACCTGGACAACTCAGGCAGGGTGGGACGCCTGAGGGCACAGAGGGAAGGACCAGCAGATGGTGGTTCTGCTGCCTGTGAAGGAGGAGGTGGCCGTCAGGCTGTGGTGAGTGCAGGGCACAGGAAGGAAGCTATCCTCACTCACTGATCTCTCCTCTGTGCCCGTGCCAACATGGGCAGGACCAGCTTGAAAGTCAGGCTTTGAAGGGACACAAGTTAGTGACCTTTTGGTGTCCTCCCCAACCTGTGGTGTGAGAGTGCTGCAGACACTGAGCAATCAGAACAGATCTCTAAAGACCCCCTGCCCTTAGTGTCTGGGTAGCAAGGACATTCCAGGTTGGGGGCCTCAGTTGCCATGTGGAAGGCTCAAAGCGGTGACCATGTCCTACCTCCTGTCCTCTGGCCTGCTGTGTCAGCCTTTTTTTTTTTTGGCAGTACTAGAGTTTGAATTCATTCTCGCTAGGCAGGTGCTCTACCACTTGAGCCACTCTGCCAGCCCGTGTCTCAGCATTTCAGCATTTTAACAATCCACGGGACCAGTCTGCATTCTGGATGAATATTGGAGTCCTATAATACATTCTCTTAAAAACTACAATAGGTTCAACCTGTCTAGGAAACCCCGGAAGCCTTCCTGGCTCAGGCTGTCCCAGTCTATGTGCCCCTCTTCCCCCACCAACAACCCCTCCAGGCCATTCCCTGCCCGGAGGAAACACGAGCCAGCCTGAGGGGGAGCCAAGGCCCCAGGACATCCTGGCTCCAGATTTTTAAAAAGAGAATAACAATAAAAACAGCCCAGAACAAAACATTGCAGCCTTGGAGCCGGCCCAGGCCTAAAGGTTAAAGGAGATTCTGAGAAAAGAATTTCTTGGAAAGTACCCTGGTCTTGCCAGGCCTGGAATCTCCAGCAGTGTGGAGGAATTTCTGAGAGAAGGCTGGGGGGAGGAGGGGGCGCCACAGAGACTGCTGGGTACCGAGGCTGGATGGGGCTGTGCCTGGGGCAAGGTGGCCTCTGAGGGTCAGGCTGTGGATGGGCCCAGGTTCAGCACCCAGCCTGGCAGGGCTTTGCCTCAACTGGATACAGGACAGGGGTGGCATTTAGTAGGGACCCAGACTTCCTCCCAGAGCCCCAGCTCCCATCTCCCCACAACTCCTTTCTGGGATGTGGCCCTGGCTTATGGTGCAGCCTACAAAGCCACTGTGCCCTTTCTAGCTTGGTCACCCACCCCTCTGGGCCCCACTTTGGAACACCTTTATTTGGTACATTCTTCCTCAGCCCACGGCCCTGCTTGAAATGTCACCTTCTCCCACAAACTGGCCTCTGCTCCCGTTTTCCTACAATATGCTCTTCCATTCGGGATCTCAACCCTTTTCATTGAGTGAAGGTGGACACAGGACTCAGAGAAGGCAGTCATCCTGCCTAAGGTCACACAGCAAACTGGCAGCTGGCCAGCCTTGACCTCCCACCTTCCCCACTCACCACAAGGAACGGTCCCTCTGCCTGGCAGAGGCGGATAACGACGACCAGTGGGATACATATCATGGAGGAGAGGGCCAGGCTCCAGCCCAGCCCAATGGCCCAGGTGGGGTACACGTAGACTTTGTTATAGGTCAGGGGGACATACTTGGCGAGAGAGAAGACGAAACATCCCTGTGGAGAGATGGGGGCACTTAGAGGGGGTCCTTGGAGAACAGAGGGCTGCTGGTAGCAGGGCTGGCCTCAGTCCTTGGGAGAGCCTTTCTTACACCCTTCCCTGCCGCCTTTGGGATCTCCCGGGTAACAATCTGATTGATTGCCCGCTCAGTAGCCTTCTGTAGCTCCCCAGTTCCCTCAGTATGGCTGGTCAGGCCAGCTGGGAGCGGTGCCCTCCCCTCTCACCAGCACCTTCTCTCCAACACTCCTGCCTTACTTGCCCAGGCTCTTCCCAGATTCTTCCCTCTAGAAAGCAGCTGCAGGTGCACACAGTAGGTGCACAGTAAATGCCAGGGGTATGGATGAAGGCCTTTCCGCCGCCACACACATGAGCGCACGCACACAAACATGCACACGCGTGCGAGCGCACACACACACGCACTCCTACCCACCCCCTCCAGGCTGAGTCATGGGCCCCACTATAGAGTATGGACCTGGCCTCAGGGATCCCAAGTGGTCGGTGAGGTCAGTCCTGAGCCCCAAAGACTGTGACATCCAGTCTTTAGAGGAACGTGGGGCTGGCAGGGACCCCGGCTCCTGTCTCTGCTCATAATGAGGGCATCTCTAAAGAGGCCCAAGACTGGCTAGGGCAGAGCCAAGAGGTGAAAATGAGGTGGCTCTTTATCCTGTAACGCTGGCTCTGATGGCAGGAGAGAGGTATGCAGGGAAAGTCGAGGTGGAGAGGGAGGAATGGGCTGCAGGTGCCCTCACCAGGCATGGTCCTCCCTGTCTCTTCTGTTGTTTTCTGCCTGTGGTGCTGGGGCTATGGCTTGGCTGAGACCTGCCTCTGATCACATCCTCACTCCTCTCCCAGATGGGTGACTTCAATCTACCACCAAGGAATGACGCCCACTGCTCATCCAGCTCCTCCGAGAGCGAGAGAGGAAGAGACTGGAGGTCAGAGTGGTGAGAAGATCGGCCCAAATATATGCATCACGTGATGACAGCATGGGCCTGAACTCAGAGAAATGCATGTCTGCTTGAGGTAAACAGTCCCTAGTTGTCAGGGGCAACCACGGGTTTTATTCTTGTGAGGGGGAGACATGTATCTGGGACAAGGCCACAATCGTAATGGTAAGGCCTCGCTGGGATTTGTGGTCCGCCTAGGCTGCTCAGCCACACCTGGGTTTCAGATCATTTTGGATAAGCATTGCTATCCAATAATGGCCTTACCATTATTATTAAGTAATATTATTAAATAATAATGGTAACAGTCTAAAGTTGTCAGCTGCCACTCAAGTCTCACTTCAGACTCCCTTGTCTTAGAGGCAGGAAAACTTAGGTCTAGAGACGGAAGTGACTTGCTTGAGTCGCAAAATGAGTTAGTGCCAATGCTGACTTGGTTTTGCTAGGAGCAGAGACTGCCGAGGGTGGGGACATCTTTTATCCCCGTTGCTGGTTCCTAAATACGAAGGATCAGAGAAGAACCTCGTCTCAGGGAGAGTGGATACACACTACAGTCAAGTCCAAGGTGGTGACGGGGCAATGTGACAGACTTGTCCTCTGTTAGGATGTCCCCTCTGTAAGCTCTTATTCCCCGCCCCCCACGGAAACAGCAATGTCTGTGGCTGCTCTCCTCCACATCCCAGTGACCAAACTGAGCTGTGGCAGCGATTGTGGAAAGGCTATCAGCCATGGGGCCTCGGGATTTCTCAGCACACTCAGGCATCCTCCTTTCACAGCGTCTTTCATAGCCTTTCAAAGGCTGGCTCCCCTGCCAGGAATGTCCCTCAACTTCCTCTTCCTGACAAACTCCTACTCGCCCTCTAAAACTCAACTCCAGAAAACCTAGAGCAGCTTTCCTGAGTCTCCCAGGTAGAACTGAAGCTAGGTTTACAACAGGCCCACACCAAGCAGGTGAATATGTCACAACCCAGGGAGCAAAAGTGCCTCGCCTGAGCCAAAGCAGGAGGGAACTCACAACACAGAGAACTGGAGTGATGACAGCCCAGCTGTACTTCATCCAGGGCCCAGGCCGATAACCAATCATGTCCTCAATACCGTCATAGAAGTTATCTCCGCCTGCAAGAGACAGCAGTGGACTCATAGGAATGCAGGGTTTGAGGCCAGTACTTCCCTGGCAGGTCCTGAGGGCCCTGCGGGGGGGGGGGGGGGGGTCTCTGGGACCATAAGGCATAGCAATGCTTATCCAAAATGATCTGAAACCCAAATGCGGCTGAGCAACCTTAGGCAGACCACAAATCCCAGCGAGGCCCAGCTAAGTCTCAGGAGGTCAATACAGACCATTCTTTGGCACTAGAGCAGGTAATCACAGGCCCTCATACAAGCAAGTTTGTATTTGTAGACATACATTTACACCTTGCACCTTCGGTGCTGGGACGGTAATGTGGCCAAATGGTATTACTTGGGAAGGGAAGGGGCATCCTTGAGAGAAAGTGTAGGTAGGGAGACCCTTCTATAAATTCTCTGATCCTGAAGGGTCAGTGTAGAGAAGCCCAAAAAGAGAAACCTGTGAAAGGAGATGCACAGATCTGTACTCACCATATATCCAGGCAATAACAAAACATTCAAAGAATGCAACCCACAAAAGGCATACACCGCTAGCTGCATAGTAGTCAAAGAGTTGAAACACATACATGCCACCCTGTGAAGGAAAAACACCACAGAGAAGGTTGATTTATTATTTGGCCTCTACTTCCCTTCATATACAAAGAGCTCTAGCAAATCAACAAGAAAAAAAAATACCTCCAAAGGAAAATGGCTATGTTGACCAGGTGCACATATAAAAAAGATGCTCAATATATCTGGCAAGTTTAAAAAAAATACACAGACGAAGAGTAAGCTGGAAGCAAATAACGCGTCTTAGCAAAACAACGGGCCCACTGAAGTCCACATCCAAAGGAGGGATTCAAACTAAGTGAGGCCAATACAGGAGACTCCAGTGACGCTCAGCTGTGACTCTGAGGGGCGTTTTCTTATAAGCATTCCCCAAAAAGCATTCTTACTTCTGATAAGGAAAACCGCTAAAGTGAAGGTCTGTGCTGGATTTGGGGCAACTGTTAAAGGAAACCCTTTCCTGGAGGATTTGGGCGGGTGGCTATGGTGGAGTGTGGGAGAACGTGGGTCATGCCTCCTGCGAGATAAGCCAACCTTCCACATTCCTGTTTCCCATGCGTCTGGCTTCCTGTGGCCCCTGCCCGGTGGCCCAGCATACACGCCCGTCATCAGACACCCAAGCAGTGGCAGAGCTCTTGCTGAGCACGTGCCGGGACCCGGGTTCGATCCCAGCACCACAAAAAAGAATTTTTAAAAAAGCAAAAGTAGTTGGGAGCTGAACAGAACCAGACTGCTGGGGCCTGAGTGTCCTTCTGCTGTCACACTCAGGTGTCCTGAGCACAGCAAGACCCCTGAAGCGGGTGTAGCAGGAGGTGAGCCCCTCCTTGGTCGTCCCCCAGCCAGTGTCCCACTGTGGCCCTAAGAAGGCTGGTTGGGGCATCGAGTTCTACATGAGAGAAGACCCTTGTACCGCGCAGAGTGCCAGCCACCTACCTCCGTCACCATCGTCAGCCCCAGCAGGTAGCTGATGCTGCACACGATGGCAATGAAGGTTTCCCGACGATAACCCTTCCTTAGGAAGGATGGGTAGAGGTCAACCAAGGACGTGATCTGTCCCTCGACTTCAACAAACTGTGGAGGGAGCAGGGAGAGGGCCAGTCAGAAGAGGCGCCCAGCGGAAATACATGACAAGGCAAGTGCTGAGGACACCTGTCCTTGTGTCCACAGCCAGCCAGGTGGCCCGGCTAGTCTCTGGGCCATGCCTATGACACCCACCCTCCGTTCCTTGTAGCCAGACCCTAGACTGCGTGGTCAAGCCACTGCGGTCCACACACAGCTTATCAAATGAGGGACACACGTGGGTACATCACATCTTGCTCAGGCTGTTCCTGACACCAGCATGCCCTTCCCTCCTCACTCAAGACTCAGCTAAAGAACAACTGCTTCTCTAGGAAGCCAGTGCCGACTCTCCCCTGGCATGCTTGGGGACACGTGTGCTGTCATGTCAACCTCCCTCCTTGGTCAAGGCTAGTGTCACACTCATCCAGGCCTTCAACACCCAGCCTGGCCACACACACGTGGCAGCTCAGGCAATGTGTGACAAATGGGTAGACTTCACACTAACCTGCTGGGTGACCAGGGCAAGACTGGGCCTCAGTTTCCCTTCTGTGGAGTGGAGAGCAATTCAGGTCAGATTCCTATGGTGTTTGTTTTTAACCCTTTGGATTGGAGATCACAGGCCCGGGAGAGCATTTTGCATGTGTTTACACACACGTGGCCAGGTGTGCAAGCCATATGTGATCGCCTGTGGCTCCATTTCCTAGGCTCTGGTGTATAAGGAAGAAGACTTGAAAAGGTCACTTCACAGGTTCAAGGGTGACTCTCAGTCTTTCCGTATCTTTCTATCTCTGTGCCTAATCATTTATTTATCTTGGAGACTATGTCAGTCATTACAAGGAGAACTACCTTCTTAAACAGTGGCATAAAACTCTACCCTCTGGACAGTACCACCACCGACATAAAGATGCCGGACAGACAGCTCTCAGACTCCTCCCACTGGCTCAGGAAGGGACGGTTCCTCTCCACCTGCATTTGGGTGTAAGTACATGTGTCTCCTTGGCAGGACCTTAAAGCGCTACCTCAGGGTTCAAGGACCAGCAGTGGCATTTAAATCCAAAGTGTCCTGCCAACCAGCATGCCTCCAAGGCTGGTCTGATTCTTTTAAAAGCTGAGATGCTAAAAACCTCGATGCATCTGTTGTTCACCCAGGACAGGCTGTGGGGAAGGGTGTTCCCTCAGCACTCCTGCAAGACAGACCCAACCACCTACTCCTCTGGAAGCAGCACAGGAGGATCAAGGAAAGGAACACAAACAAAAAGTCTCTTTCATGTGTTGAAAGGGACCCACAATCAGGGAAAAGGTGACCAAGAGGCTCTTGAAAGGGGTCCCAAGGGAAGGGGTGGCTTTTTTGACTTCTGACTGCTGTGTCCAGCTGAAAAGGGATTTGAACCTCACTAGCAACAGAATTATAGCAAACTTGCAGCTCCATCAAGTTTCAAAAAGAGTTAGAAACAAAGGGTCCTTTTTTTTTTTTTTTTTTGAGATGAGGAAATTAGGGTCAGGAAAATCCAGTGCCACTATGAATCAGGACCAAGACTGGCACAAGCCGCCTTGTTTCCAAGTCCCCCCACTTCTGCAGGAACCACCACACCCCCTCCACCAGCCTCTTCCAGCCTCCCTCACTTATCACTGATGGGCCTCAACTTCTTCCTCTATAAAACCAGAGGTCTTGCGTACTCATCAGGGATGTTGAGAGAGACATGACAACTATGAGAGTTAGATGACAATTTTGACAAGTGTTGATCCATGTCTGGGGGCTAGGCTTGGGGCACTCAAGTCAGAGGGGAAGGCCCCAGCTCTCTTCTCCTTATGCTGTTTGTTCAACCATGTTCCCTTGGGGTGCCCCAGATATAAGCAGGCATCTGCCTCCTTGTGGGTGACTTCCCCACTCTGTCCCACCAAGAAATACCCATGTGATGTTCCTATGCCAAAGACAGCTAATTCCCACTGAGGCACGAAACCCTGGGCAAGTGTGTCCTCTGCCGAGCTAGGGTCCTGGGTCCCTGACATCGCACTTAGGTTGCCTTAGGTTGACTGTGATCTCCCCACTTCCATGTGACAGAACTATTTTTGGGGACTTCAAAGGGAAAGCCAATGGGGACAAACCATCAGCTTCTGGGGTCGAAGCTTTCACTAGCTGGTTGGCCTCAGCCAAGTCCTTATTCTCCGTAAGCCTGTTCCCTCGGCTGCTAAAAGGGTAATAGAGTAGATGCTAATGGATGAAGCTCTGGGTGCAGTGAACTGGGATGAGCTCTGTAGAGCAGTTGCCTAGCATGTGCAAGACCCCAGGTTCCGTCCCTAGCACTGAAACAAAAGAAAAGAGATAATGTGAGTGCAGGGCTGAGGGTGAGCTGGGACGCAGAGGTGCAGAATTGCAGCTCAGGAAAACGGACGCTCTCTGGAGGGGGATGCCGGGATGGTAGACCACGTGCTAAGGGATGGTTTGCTGTACATTTAAAGATGAGTCAAGCAGTTCATTTTATGTTCTTGTTATGTGCTCCATCCATGAGCACATAACAAGCCTGGCATGGGGTCCGGCACCTGGTGGCACCGTGCACAGTGGTGCCCTCATCCTCTGCACAGGACTGACATTGCTAGTGTCTACAAGGTTTTCCTCATTCCCCAAGTTCTCACCATAAACAGAAGCAAAGGATGGAGCCTGACCTACACTGTCAGCGCCCCAGTTCCTGCTTCAAACCTGGATCCCCAGAGACTGGGGCCAGTGACTGGGGTTCCATTCCAACCCTTGCCCCTTGCTGGAGTGACACAGGCAGGTCGCTTAACCACTGAGCCTGGAGTTTCACATTGCAAAGCAGGGTAAAGAGCAGCGACCTCTTCTGAGGCCAGCTTTGCCAGCTCCCAGCATTCTCTGTGCAACCTGGGGCCCTGCTGAAAGGTGCCAGTCCTCTACATCCCCCAAGCTATCCCCTGGGGGTGGGGGAAATCTAATGAATAACTACCTCCACTTCCTACTTAGGAAGTAGGTTTGTGGCCTATTTTGGACCATGGAGATGTCACACATCGTCATTTATTAACCTGTCTTTGTTTTTTCCTCTTACTTAGAAGCTCTGGGAAGAAGCTCTGAGGCTACTTTCTGGGGCCTCCCTCCCAAGTCCAAGCTCGTGAAGGAGGAATGATTAATGAAGTCCTCTTGTTGTTTACGCAGCTCAAGTAAATCAACTGCGCAAGTTTTGTTTTCTGTCTCCTGAATGCTTTTACTCTGCCGTCTCTGCTAACGTGGGTCCCCTTTCTGCCAAGTGCTCTGCTCTGTTCTTGACCTTGCTAGCTGACTGTCTCCTCTCTCCGGACTCCCACTCTTCTGCCTGGCCTTCTAGGACTTCCCTCCTATTCAGTTCTTTGAAGACTATGGCCTGTGGGGAGGGTGATGAGGGGCTCTCCTGACCTGACCACAGGCTCTGACTGTGCAGAGGGTCTCAGTTTGACCAAAGCCTTTTCCTGGGACCGGTGGCCCCACCAGATCGATCCACGCCATATGTTGTGTGCATCCTACCTGCTTCTCTAACTGGCCCGGGCACATGGTCACCTGCCCAGCACACCACGACTCCCCTTCTTGCAGAGTCATGTCTGTGCTCCAAGCTGCCATCTCAACCAGGCCCCAACAGAAGTACGTGCATCTCAGGGAAAGGGGTCCAAGTGCTCCCATAAATCAACCCCAGGCACCCTGACAGCTCTGTGCCTGGCACTGTGCCTGGTGCTTCTCAAAGGCAAAGGTGGATATAATCATACCCATTAACCAGGATAAGGAAACTGAGGCTCAGAGGGGAGGAAATGGGCCCAGTATCACATACAACTGTGCTACTCCAAAGCCAGCTGCAGCAACTCCCTGCCTGTCACTGACATACCCCAATAGTCACATTGCTCATCTACCATGTCACCTGGGCCCTGCCAGAAGAACATTGTGACCTTTTGGGTCTTGACCTCCTAACTCCTCATTTATGGCTTGACTGTAACCATACCCCCTGGGCTGTCTTCCCCTTGCTGGGTGACAGCCTCCAGCTGTGGGGTGGTCAGATATTTTCCTGCCTCCCTGGGGCCCTTCCCACTCCTAGTTTTTGGAGTAACCCTTGCTGACCAAAGCCACTGGACGGATGTACAGGTCCCTCCCCCCACCACCATGGGCGGTCCCATCCAACGCACAAACACTTACCTGGCTATCCAGTCCAAGCAAGAGAAGCATAATAAAAAACAGGATGGACCAAAAAGTAGGGAGTGGCATCATTGTCACAGCTTTCGGGTAGGCAATGAAGGCCAAGCCAGGACCTAAAGGAAGAGAAAATGGGGAGGGGGCACAAGGAGGAAACACGTCAGTCACCAAGCCACTCGGAATCCCAGGCCTCACACAAAGACACTTGGATCTGAGGCAGGTCTCCCAAGCCCAAGATGCAGGGAGGAGCCAGGTCGGAGTTGCTGCCTGGGAAGAGAGACCAGGCTTGTCTCGCTTTTGGGGTGGGGCGTGCCAGGACGCAGGAGGGGTCCCGTTTTAGCATCTGTCTCCTATATGGCATGAGCGGCCTCCTCACAAACGTGAATCTGCACAGACATGGGTTATTTGGGGCAGGGCCTGGGACTTGGGCTGCCAGGGACTCAGGAAAAAGGAGTACCCTGCCCCTCCCAAATCAAAGTCATCCTGTCAACACTGGCTGGAAGTAAGCCAGGGGGAAGGTTTGGGTTATCTGGCAAGTGAAGCCCTTCTTTGGAAAAAAAAAAAAAAGATTTCTATTTTTGAGTTAATGGATAAAACATTGCAGAGTGGAAGGGAAAAAGAACACAGAACCACACCCAGTAGGGCAAAGGGCTCTTCAGGGGTGCATCTGTAGGTCCCCCCACTGCCTGTAGGCAAGCAAGGCCAGTATGCAGCACTGAAGGAGACGGCAGGCACGGGAGCCCAGGCCTGGAGACTGATGGTCACATCCAAGTCCTCATCGACCATTTCCTCTTTGTATCTCCCCACAAGCTGTCTCAGGGCCTCAGTTTCCCCAGCTGAAAAGTGAGAGAGCTGGTGAACCCAGAAGCCTTCCTACATTCATATTCTCAGAGATGGACACTATTGCCCCAGAAAAGAGCATTAGGCATCAAAAGAGGAGACTCAGACAAGACCTGGAGGCAGAGTCTCCTGGAGGGGACGGCTCTGCAGTCCTTCTGCCTCCAAAAGGCCCCAGAGCAGGCGCCAGGGGAAAGACTGGCTGTTAACTGACACTGTGGGCTCCACAAAGGAAGGCAGGTCCCAAGGGCCTGGTTTGAAACACTAAAGTAAAATCAACCACTAAAAACAAAACGAACCCCCAAAAATCAAGAAGCAAGAAACAAAAAGGGCCAGAGAGCATGACACATATTTTAAAGCAAACCTCAGAAACCAAATGAATGGTTCGAGAAAAAAAAAAAAAGTCACAAAAACAAACCAATTTTGCAAGAAATTGGAACCAGAAATCACATTGTAAGGCAGTAACAATTCCAAATGTGGCAGGGAGGACAAGTCTTTTTACAACGCATCCGACCAAAATAATGACCTTGGGCGGCGGCAGAGCAGTAGGTCATTAACGGAGGCTCTTACCAAGCCCCAAGCTGCTCCAATGGACACAGGTGAGGGGTGAGGGCCAGGTGCAGGAAAATATGCGGCCCACCCAGGACTCTGTAAAACACCCTTGGAATCAAAGTCAGAATCAAAAGCCACGCACGTCCACCTAATCCATCAGCTCGGGCTCTGACTGGCACACACCAAGAATGAGGAATCAGGACCAAGCCGTCTGCGAGACAGATGGAAAAATGGGGTCCTCACCAGCCTCCACCAGCTGGGCACTGTGAGGTTTCTCAATTCACCTGTTTCCGCGTCTCGGTTTTGACTTTCTCAAACCAGCCTCAGGAGAGGGGCTGAGTGTCCGTTTCTAAAAGCACATGGTGAGCTTGGGATGGAGAAAAGTCCAGGAGAAGTCACCCCATGGCTCTGAATGCCCCTCCGCTAGCAGGAAACGCGCCATGCTGGCCCGTCTGCCCTCCACTTGGCTGCGTAATTATCTCGTTCAAGTGCACTTTTGCTCAATATGGTGCTTGTTAAAAGCTTATTAGAGAAAAAAATCACCCTTGATGTGCCGGCTGTTCAGATATCACCGTGGGGAATGAATGACAAGGTCTTAGAAGTGGACAGGAGCAAGAAAACAACTTAGGCTGACCACGTTTCTGTATACAAAGACACCTAGCTGTCCACAGAGAAGGATCTGCTTTAAATAACCCATGTCCATCTCCCACGGCCAAATTCACTCCGTACTCTTGGCGTTTCCCAATCAAGGAACAAGCTTGCAAGCCCTTGGCCGAAAGAAAGCCATGTGCAGAGGGGACTGTGAGCTGTGATGGGTTCCCTCCCCCCACCAATGTAACTGCCACCCCCCAGGTGACCGTGGGAATTTCTTTTGAAATAACTTTCTATGTCTCAATCTGTGACCTGACTTTGGGGGCTCTGGGGAGGGGTGAATGGTACCTCTGAAGGTCCAATTTGGAAGTGGGGAAAGGGGAGAGGTACGTGCTGAGCTGTGGATTTGCCATGGTGGTTCTGCACCACTGGGGTCTAAGGTCAAGACCTAGCAGTGGACAGGGGCCAGGGACTTCGAGAGGTCAGAGGAACCCAGGCAAATTCTCCCATGGGAGGGCCCGAGGTTGTCGAGTATGCCAGGCTGGGGTGGGAAGGCAGGAGAAGGCCTGCCTGGCCTGTGGTGGGTGAAGGTACAGAGGACAGGGTGGGTGTCAGGAAACCCCTGCTCTGGCCCTAACCCACCCAAACAAGGCCCTGATCTCAGGCCACTGATTTCCTCATCTGAGACACACAATGCCAGGGGGCGTCCTGACCCTCTAACACTAAGACTCCAGGCTGTCAGCTTGTGTTTCACATACAAGAAGGCAGAGGTCAGGGGAAGGGAGCATCAGGGACTCCAGCGGCTCCTGCCCCTGGTCCGCAGAGGTCTCTGGAATTACAACCCATTAAACTTGCCCCTTCTGCATGAAAGGACGACCCTCACCTTCCTCCAAGTGACCCCAGAGAGGCTGTGAGAAATCAGGATGTCAGGCAGGGGAGGGGCCAGGGGGGAGGGAGGGACAGTATGTGAAACCACGAAACCTTCCAGACAACCGATGGCCACCCTCCAAGGGAGCCAGGCAGGACTGGAAAGCATGGAAAAGCCGGATAGGTGGACTTTGGGAAATCCCAGGAACCTATGTGTCGCTATCCCTGTGGCAGTTTTAAAGCCACAGGTCCAGGACTTCAGACAGTCATGGCCAAGTACTCCGGGGCCCTGGGATGCGTGGTGAGGTTCTGGCCTCAGAAGACCTCCAACACTGCCATGTCCTCGAACCATCTTTGCTGTAATTCTAGGCTGCAGGTTCCTAAGGTCGCAAACTGTGGCGAGCCCATGAAGCTAAGACTCTGTCGGCTCCCGTAACTCCAGCTGTCCTGAAGAGGGCCACATTTGCCAGAGGGGCCCATACCCCAAGGGGCGACAGGACCCTCATCGCCTACCGCCATCACTATCTCCAGGGGTGGCGTTCCTCCTCCTCGATCCCTTTCTTGCTTCCCAAACCCACTGAGCCCTGTGCCTACGGTGGAGCCTGACAGAGGAGAGATGGGGTGAAATGAATGAACGGATTTGGCTATAGGGAACGCCAGGAGCAAAGTGCAAAACACGGAAACCCAGCTGAGAAGGTGGCGAGGAGGAGCCGGCTGGTGACTGGCCTGGGCCTAGGCTAGGAGAGAAGCTTCGCTGTGGGGAAGGGAGGGAGAAAACACACCATAGGAGCGACCGGTTCCCAACTCAGCCACCCCTCCCATGTTTCTGCCATCCCTTGGGCCGGGCTGCAGTGAAGATCTTTAAACGAAGCTTTTGCACTCTCTGGTCTTGGGGACTTCTTGGTGGGGGTGGGGGGGTCTATGTAGAAGCCAGGCTCACCCCCCCATCCCCCTGGGGTCTGGCTTCATGCCTGCAGTACTTGGCTTACACACTAGGTGGCAGTGCCCACCACCACTGCCACCAACACCACCGTACCTGACTCAGCCACATCAGCAATGTCCACCCCTTGCTCTTGTGCCATGAAGCCCAGGATGGAAAAAATTGCGAAGCCAGACACAAAACTGGTACCACTGTTCAGGCATCCCAGCAGCATACAGTCCCTAAGTTACACATATGTCAGGAGCAAGTTAATTCACAACACAAGGAAGCCACGCTCCCTACTTCTTCTCTTTTCTTTAAATATCATTTCTCACGTCCTCTGGGCCCGCTGGCACGACACTTGCCTGTATGAATTGTACTTGTACTTGTTGTAGCTCCCCAGTGAGGTCATGGCCCCCAGGCAGATGGCATAGGAGAAGAATATCTGGGTCCCAGCATCAATCCACACCTGGGAGGGAGAGGGGTGGCAGGGAGAGAGAGGGCTCGTTAGGGCTGGCTTCCAGGAGGAGGTGGCAAGGGTTCTTGGCCACCCAGCGATGGCCTAAGGAGAGGGCCTTGCAAGGTGCAGAGTCCAGACTGCAAATAGTCTGTGTTGGGACTGACGACACATTTTGAAGTAATGCTAAGCTGCAAGGAACCCCAGAAAAGAGCCAGTGCCCCGCCTCAGCCCATGCATCATTTCGGAAACTGGGCTTTGGAAGCAGAAGGATCTGAAGTCCAACCCTGGAAGGACTTACAAATATCACCCCTGGAGCCTTGGTTTTCATAGCTGTAAAATGAGTGCCACAGAAAAGCTCTTCAGGCTCAAAGATAAACCCACAGGCCAAGGTTCTTTATGACTGCAATACTATCATCCGGGGTCTTGGGTTGGAATGGGAGGAATTCCTTATTGGATCTCTGGAACCTTCTGCAGCAGCTCCAATTGCTGTGAAGCTGCCTTCAGGGCTCTGCTCTTGCACTGGCCATTCCCACCCCCCACCCCCCACCCCCGTCCTGCCCAGGGCGTCAGGGAAATGCTGGCTCCTGGGAGGCAAGCAGAAAGCTGGGGATCGTGGTACTTGGGTCCCCAGTGGACCCATACTCCCGAAGCCCCGTGGCCAAGCACCAAGGGGTGGACTTGCAGCGTGGGCCGCTCAGCCTTCCGAGCAGTCATGAAGTCCCAATCTCATCCTAAGCCAAGGAAACTGTCTCCCGCCCCAGGACACTGGGAGCAGAAGCCCAGTCCGAGGAGGACACTGGCTCATGAGGGACCTCGCCCTTACCTGGCACAGCGCCTAAGGCAGCCTCTGTTATTGCCGCCTCAAGAGTCCTACACAAGAAGAGAGACACCCACAGCTGGAAGCGTCCGAGAGCACGTGAGCAACTGCACCCGCCACAGGCCGGTGGAAAAGTACAGGGGGAAGCCCAGCTAGAGCCACCGAAAACCCAGCCCCAGCCCTGCCGGCACGCACGAGGCCTGGGTGGGAGGAGGACTGTGTTCCCCACCTGCCGTACCTGTGGGTCCTCAAGGCGGGTGATGTTAGGATACAGGTAGAACTTGATGCCTGCACCGGCGCCAGGCAGCGTCAGCCCTCGGATCAGCAGCACCAGAAGCATAGCAAACGGGAATGTGGCTGTGAAGTAGACAACCTGCAAGGGGCACAGTGGCGTTATGTGGGCCCGCTGGTAACAGTCGGGGTCTTGGAGTCAAGTCTGCAATCTCAAGTGCTGTGTAACCTTCAGCATGTTGATTAACCGCTCTGGGCCTGTTATCTCACCTGCTACCTGAGTAGGACACAAGGAGCTAGGTCAGAGATTTACTGTAATTAAATGAAAAAAGTCCTATAAATATCCATATTTATTATATCTCAGGCATTATCCAAGCCCAGAATACAGTGATGGGGAAGAGAAAAGAAATGCCTGCCCTTGGGGAGGTTAGAGAGACAAAATGCAAATGAGAGAGCAGACACCTGTGTGGACTCACGTGTGGATGCACAGGGCTTAGCCCAGTGGCTGCCCACGTGGTGCTCAGTACATACAACTGACGTTCCCACTGTCAATGTGAGTCTATGGTGCAGAATCAGATACAGCACCGGGGTGCACGCTGTAACCCCAGCACTCGGGAGGCTGGGATAGGAGGATAGCAAGTTCTAGGCCAGCCTGAGCTACAAAGTGAGACCCTGTCTCAAAAAGAAAAATTAAAGATAAATAAGGATTTCAACTCTCAGCTCTGCCCTCTTCATTTGCTGGGGGACACTGGGCATGTTGCTGAACCTCTCTGGGCCTCCCTCAGTTTCTTCATGCAGGAAATGAACAATAAGAGTCATAGCGGCCCCCTTGTGACGTGGTGAAAGGAAGACAACAGGACGAAGGTCCAAACAGCACCTGACACTCAGCTGCCCAGGAAACAGGGTCTGCCATTGACACGGATTTTGTGGGAAGCAGATGGGAACTGGTCCTCATCCAGCCCAGGGAAGGACCAGCACTCCACTGGCCTGTGGGAGACCCACAGCCTTCCCTGAGTCACACCTCTCATCCAAGGCCGAGGTCAAGGGCAGCGGGCACTAGTGATGACCTGGGCCAGGCCGAGGACCTGCCCACTCTTTCTCCTCCCGTCCCACAGGCTGGTCTGCCACAGCACAGTCTGGGAGTCCAAAGACCAGAGGGAAGCTGGACCCCCGCCCCACTGCTGGGGTCAAGACCCTCAGGCCTGAGCTCTAAGGCAGCAACTGGGTGCTGAGAGTCATTGCCCCTCTCTTGGACCAGATGGGCTCCAAGATCCCCCTACAAAGCTCTAGAGTCAGGAGGTGGAGCAGCCCAGACCTGAGCTCACGACTGCATCTCTGCCACCTCCCCGCTGGCGACTGTGGCCACTGCTTCCCCCGCCTGTGCCCCAGTGAGCGCTCGGGTATTCTTAGCAATCAATACCATTGTGACATCCCACAGGCTGAAAGGGTGGCTTCTCCTGCCTCTGCCACCCCTCCCCGGATGTTCCAGGCCTCAGTTTCCCCAGACACCTTTCTTTCTTTTCTTTGAGAGGCTGAGAACCCTCACACTTTCCCAAGGGCAGGAGGTAGACAGGAGGGCGAGGGCACGTCAGGAAGTGACAGAAGGGGCAAAAGAAAGCAAGCCGGCCTGTCCCCTTCCTTCCTGTGGACAGGCAGGCAGGCGCCCCTGGACCAGTTCCCCACTCTGGGGCCTGTGCGTGGGCCACACCCGGGCTGGTGAACAATAGCTGCAGACAGCAGCCTGGCGGGGGTCCCCAGAGGGCCACAGCTTCAAAGCTGCAGGCAGCAGTCAGGGCTGTGGGCGTGGACGTGGGCTGACTTCCCGTTTGAGTACTTCGTTTACTTAACAAGCACTTAGGAGGTGCTTACTGTGTGCCAGTGTTAACCGTTTGCTCCTCACCACACCTTGCAAGAATGGGATGCCATTATTTCTTGCATTTTCTAGATGAGAAAACCAAGCCCCAGAGAGGTGGGACATCACCTGCCTGGGGTCCCGAGTTAGCAGGTGTTGGAGGGGGACTTGAACTACTTACAGGGTCCCCACATCTTTGAAGGGGATTTGCTGCTGTTGCTCGGTCCCCTAAACCCAGAGCCTCACAGCCCCTGGTCCTGCGCCTCAGCCACCTCTCTGGAAAGCTGCCCTTGCCTTGTAGACTTTGCAGCTCTGAGGACGAGCCCTTGAGAGTCGTTCTCTCAACTTTTCCGTGACTCCCCTAGGATCCCCAAGGGAAAGGCTGGTGCCAGACGCCACCAGTGGGCCCCTGGTGGTGACCCAGCAGGCCTTGCCGTGGGACATGGTATTTTTCCACTCTTGCTGGTGAATCTCTGTGTCTCCTCTGAGTTTGAACCCAGAAGCTCTGGCCCAGCTGCCCCAGACACCGTGAGGACTTCTTCCCAGTCCCCTGTGGTGCAGGTAGGGAAGAAGGTGGCCCACGTAGCAGAACACAGCTGAGCTCCTGCGTCCCCTAGCTCACTTTGGGAGGTGAAGGCCTACGGCAACAGAGGTCTGTCCTAGACAAACCCTGGTGGGGGAATCACTCACACATTTTACACAAGGGGAAACTGAGGCTGGGTTAAAAGGGACCTGTGAAGTCATATACTTCGTAGAGGCAGAGCTGAGCCCCAAACCTGGTCCGGCTCTGCCTGACCCAACCCCCTTTGATTCTGACTACTGGACAAAGTGAGCTGCCCTGGATGGTGGACAGAGAGGGCAGCCTCAGCACTTGTCTGTGACGTCTGGACTCCATGTTCCATGAGAGCAGATGCCTGGCTCTTTCTCTGTTGCTGCATCCTTAGGCTGGTGCTGGGGTGAGGCCAGGAGGTGGACAAATGGGGTGGGGGGGAATCAGGTCAGGAATAGGCTTGCCTGAGTCCAAATCTCAGCTTGGTCACTGACAAGCTTTGTGATGTTGGGAAAGTTAATTAACCTCTCTGGGCCTCAGTTTTCCCATCTGCAAAACAGGACTATTAACTGCACACAGGAGCGAATGTTAGGAGCATTAAGTGAACTGCTAAACAATAGTAAGAGCCGTGTCCAGCTTAGCCATGCTACACAGCAGTCGCCCCTTGTGGGATAAATTAAGCCATGGCCTAAATTGTGGAGAATTCTCTTGTGGGAGAATCAAATACTCCAGTAAAGGAGTCTGTCTGCTACTTGGGGAGGCTGAGCTACGTGAACTCAGGTCCTGAGCCTCAGGAGCCCAGGCCCTCCTTCCATCCACCCCCAGGGTGGCCATGAACCTGGTCTGTGGCCAGGGCTGGAAGCTACAACAGGCCGGCAGGCAGGCAGCCTCTCAGCGCTGAGCTCGAGGAAGTCCATGGAGCTGGCTGTTTGTCTTGGCTTCTCTGGGCTGACCCAGCCCTGCTATTGTTCTGGGAACTACGCCTGCCCTGCAGAGGAGGGTGTCCCTAAGGGTGAAGTGAGGGGACCTCTGGCAAGTCACGTCTTCTCTTGGCCACAGCTGCAGCCTGGCACCCTCTCGCTTGACTTTGGCTCTGTTCCCCTGCGTGCTGTGCTAAATCTCAACGCTGCTCATGGCGCCTAGTGGGCCTCAGCCTCCTCCATCACACTGGTTGCTCCCCATGGGTCTGGCCAGACGTACTTTAGGGCGTTTGAACTGGCTGTTCTCTCTACCTGGAATCCCCCTCAGGTCCCAACTCTTCACTTCTTCACATCTTTGCCCAAAAGTCACTTTCTCAGTGAACCCTTCCTGGCCACCTGTTGTCCCTTACCACTTAATTCTTTTCCATTGCTCTTGTCAGTGTCTGACTCCTATCTCCTACCAACTCTGCCCACTGGGCTGTCAGCTCCTGGACACTGGATCCCTAGCCTCATTCCTACAGAGCAGAGGCTCGAAAGATAGCAGCGCACAAGAAAATGATTACGTCTCTGGTATTGCTCAGCACCAGATTTGCTTCCACCTGGGGAAACTGAGGCAGAGTGTAGCAGACAGTTAACATTCACTGGACAGTCTGTGCCAAGCAATGTGCTGGGTGTTTAACACACTTCATTTGAACCCTCACTACTACCCAACTTACAGATGAGGAAACTGAGGCTCAACGGTGAGGGAGTGACCTTGGACAAGTCATCGAACCTCTCCAGGTCTGTTTTCTTGTTGCTTAAAAAGCAATAAAATAGTGTGGTCAAAAGACGGAGGAGGAAGTGGGAGAGCATAAGGTGACAGTGCTCTCTGAGGAGCTGGCACGGGTTTCTAAGGCCTGGATGGCTTCCTTTCCAGACCGGGGTTCAGAATTGAGAGTAGCTCTTCCCAGAGCAACAGGCAGAAGACATTGGGGTTCTAGAGTTTGGATAAGGGCCCCCAAGTCCATATGTTGAAGGTTTGGTCTTTCATCCTTTCAAAGGGGATGCTGCAACCCAGCCCTTTCCTTTCTCTCCCTTAGCCTCCCAGCTACAATGAGACCATCACTTCCTCTGCTGTGTGCTCCCACCATGACGTACAGTGCCGCTACAGGCCCAAAAGCAAAGGGACCAAGCAACCATGGACTGAAACCTCTGAGGCTAGAGGCCAAAATGCACTTTCCGTCCCTTAGATTGACTTTCTCAGGTATTTGTCACAGGAACAGAAAACTGACTAACACAGGGCACAGGATCGCCAATTCTAGGGACGCTCCCTTCTGCCTCCACAACCCTGAGGTTCCGCGTCATGTCCAGCAGGTGACTGGACTGATTTCTGGGATCTTGTTCCACGATTTTGCCTTCATCCAGGAAGCGTCCTCAGCAATAAGTAGGTGGCTGGGGCAGCCAAGGGCCTTTCTCCAAATTACTTCGTCCACTGCACCTCGATGCCCTCAAATGCCTCCTGAAGAGACACTTTTGACTAATGGGGATTTTGTTAATTTGTTTGGTTGTGTGTGTGTGTGTGTGTGTTACTGGGGTTTGAACTCAGGGCCCTTGCTTCCTCAGCAGGTGCTTTACCACTGGGCCATGCCCACAACCCCACTGCTTTTTTTTTTTTTTTTTTTTTTTTAAATCTTAAAGCAATGGCCCGCATTACAGTGTGAACGAGGGGCCAAAGTTACTAGGACATTGAAAGGCTCATCAGCCAATCCCTGTGGATGGCTCTGTGCCCCAGATTCAGCTCACGAGAGCACCCTGCATGACCTCTGTCATCAGAAAAGCCAGGCCCTCAGCCAGAGCCCTGGTTACCAGGGAACTGCCTGGCTCTCACTGGTAACAGGTCCCATTTTCACTGTCGCCAATACACCAGTTAAACATACCTAAAAACCTTCCTTCCAAGCTAAGATTTTAATTTTCAGCCGCCACAATTGTTCATGGCTCCATTCAACTCTGTGACACGTCGATCAGCAGCAGCAAATGCTCCTGTTGCAGACCAGGACTTTGGTCAACAGCTAACATCTGGCTAACGCTCATTATTAGCTAACGCTTTCCTGAACAACCAAAACAGAAATTGTTGAAAGGCTAGCTACAACTCAATTAATCTGACCTAGCAGCACGGACCCAAACCAGGGCTGCCCAAACTGTAAGGCACATCCAGAGTATCTAGGGATGGCGTGACAGCAGAGCCCCTGACTCGGGTGATGTCAGGCAACCCCTGCTTCTGCAGCTCCATCAAACCCTGGTGTTGCTGATGTTGACTGTCATGGCCCACTCTGCAAAGCCAGGGTCCACATTGGCTGCTGGTGAGCTCGCAGTGCCTCTGGCTCCCAGTTATCATAGGTCATGATGCCAACATTAGTTAACTGCTAACGTCTGCATTTACTGCCAACACTTGGAGGAGGAAAAGCAGCAGTGGTGGGCTAGCTCCTGGGAGACATTTGGGAATGTCACTGAATACTCGAAATCGGACATAGAGGAAGCATGAACACTGCGAGAGGGCTACACCACCAACAGGGCTTTGTTTCCCTACTCTTTCCAGAGGACCAGTTTGTCCTCCTGCCACCATGGCACCTCCCTCCTATAGTTCTGGCTGACTGTGGGCGGGCAGGCCAGCAAGGTGGGAAACTCTGCTGAGACCAGCCTCAGCATGGCTGTCTCTGAGGCAGGGGGACAAGAGTCCAGCTTACCTTCCCTGTGGACCTGACACCCTTCCAGATGCAGAAGAAACACACCAGCCAGACTAAGAGAAGGCAGAGAGCAAGGTCCCATTTCAGAGTGCCCGGGTGGTCGATTCCGGGAGACAAACTCAGTACGTTGTGCCTTCAAGAAAACAGAGTGAGAGGTCAGTGGGGCTGATCCCAGGTACTGCATATCACAAGCCCCAGGGGCCCCATTTTTCTTGGGACAGAGTTATTGGGAAGTCAGATGGGGATGGGAGAGCTGAGGTGAAGCTCAGTGGCAGAGCACCTGCCCTAGCATGTACAAGGCCCTGGGTTCCAACCCCAGCACTATAAAACAAAGAGGGGGATGGATTCTGACTCCTAAGTCAGCTGAACTCAGGTTCAATCCAGCCTGGCCTCAGGCAAGTCATGGAACCCCAGCCTCAGTTTCCTCATCTGTGGTGACCATGGGACCTTAGGACAACCTTCTGTAGTGTTGACTGGGGGCCAAACACTAGGTTCAAATCTCAACTTCCCTGTTCAATCACTGACTTTAGGCAAGCTACCTGGCCATCAGACCTCAGTCTCTTCATCTGTTAAATGGGGTAACTACCCTCCCCCAACATTCTCTGTCCCATCCCTCTATTTTATCCAACTCCAACTTTTGCCAGGCGTGGTGCTTCACACCTATAATCCCAACAGTTGGGAAGCAAAGGTAGGAGGATCACGGACTCAAGAGTCCGTGTAGCCTGGGCTACACAGTGAGAGCCTAGCTCAAAAACAAAACACAACAAAATAAAATAACCCGAGTGTTATTCAGATCTCTCCCAAAATAAAAGCCTTGAGCTAGGCACTGGTAGCTACTTAAGATGCTGAGATCAGGAGGATTACAGTTCGAGGCCAGCCTAGGCAAAAAGTTAGTGAGACCCCCCCCCATCTCAACAAATACCTGGGCACTAGCCTTTGCCATTGGTCTTCCAGGTTACCTGCGCACTGAACCTGCACGCTGCTAACTGCATTAAACAGGCCCCCACACGCTGGGTGCTCGCCGTCCCTGGGAGAAGCTGTGTTTCCTTCTAACAGGAGTTAGCTCCCTGACCAAAGACCATTCGCTCCTGAGGAGTAGACAGACTCCATGCCTCCGTCTGTCCTTCCATCAAATGGGAATGCCAGCTCCTGCCTGGGCTGCTGCTTGGGAAAGCATTCCAGAACATCCCATGCTCTCAGCAGCCTGTGGCTCCAGGTCTTAAATACTCCCTGGCTAGGACCCATTTCCATCTCTTTTCCTTTTCTTCCAGAGAAGCCTCAACATGGGGACCTTGAATAAACCCACAATTCCTTCAAACGAGGCTGTGTTCTCACAACCTGCAACAGCACCCAGCACACAGCAGTACTCACCGCACCTTTTGCAAGGATGAATGAGCCAGCTGGGATAAGGCAGGTGCCCATATCACTGTGGAAGGTTCCATGAACCACCCGCACTCACAAGCCTGAAGGAGGGGCGTCTTTCCTTTTTCTCTTGATGGTCACAGTAAGACCAGCACCCACCCACACCCACCTGGGACAGTGTCTGCCATGATAGTGATGCCCATAAAACAAAAGCAGCCAGCATCTGCTTATTCACCAAGGCCTCTCCTGATTATCTCATTTGACCCAAGGGGCAGAGGTAATTGGCCCCACTTTACAGATGGAGGGGCCACTTGCCCATGGTCACAAAGTCAGCAGGTGGCAGGCACGGCTGTCACCCAACCCTAGGCCTAGCTGACTCCTATCTAGACTCTTCACTGCTGGGCTGATTTTAAAAGAAAACAGTGCCTTGGTCTTAAAAACAGTCTCCTTCGTCAGTCCTCTGCGACGTGGCAGGGGCCCCTAGCCCACCCACCCTGGTGAAGGGCCACGAGAAGAGGAAGGGCACCTTCCTACCTCTGCCGCTTTGCACACACCACCCCTTGGTGACCTCTCTCTGATCTGCCAGGTGCATCCAGCTCGGCTGGCATTCTGATGACTCATCCTGGAGTCCTTCCTGCCTTCCGCTGTTCTCTCCTACATGGTGAGACGTCTGTCTTGCACACCAGGCTCCATGTACCCCAAGGACAAGGGGGTGTCTCACGCACAGACACACAGCAGGAGCTCAGCACATGTGGACAAGACACCCAGCCACAAGTGGCCATTTCTTTTTGTTCTTTAGGGCAAGTTGACCAAGAAGCTTAAAGGCCCAGATCCTGCTGGTCCTAAACCACCAGACAGATGGCCTGGCAAAACACCAGTGCCCACTGCTGATGGAGGCTGCCATGCTGGTGTGTTCTCAACAGCTGAGCACCTACAGAGGCCAGGACAAGGCTGAGAGAGATACCTGTCCTTCTATTATCGGTAGTAGCCCCTGTACAGGATCACACCACGTCATTCGGGCACAACCCAAGGCAGGTCTTCTTAGTAATACATTCCCAAGACCAACTCCTACAGTGCCACCTGCACGGGTAACCAAAGACACAATGTCTACACCATCAAAGACTGGAAGTAACCTGACCAGCCCTCGACTCAGTATACCATGATGCAGTGCTACACAGCCCCAAGAAGGATCTGGGTAGGTTGAGAAGGCACCAGCTCCTGGAGCTAAAATAAGTGAGCAAAGTGAAGAGAGTAAAGAACCAAGCACAGGGTACCTGCCACAGGGGAGGGGACGGGCATACACTTTGTAAAGGTTATAGGAAATTCCTGAAATACCCTAGGAACAGAATGCATGTGTCCTGTCAACCCCCATCCCCTGCCCAGTGTGGCTCAGGCCCAGAGTGACCCTTGCCCTTTCCTAAAACAACTCAGGGGCAGCTATGGAGGCTGGAAAGCATCTGGGTCACTGAATCCCGGTAGAGCCCCCCACCCACCCCTGACTAGTCCCTTCTGCATCTGCCTCCCAGGGTCTCCTCATCACACGCCAGCAGCCAGGACCCGCTGGGCCTTCACACCATAGAGAATGAGTGCTCAGTAAACTGCTGAGTGCTGTGCCCCCACATCTCTCCCCTTGCTGCACTGCCCCTACTCAGGCCTGCCTGCACCCCAGGACCATTTCAGCAGCCTCCCCAGTCTTCCTGCCAGAGAGAACTCAGCAATACCCCACAAAGTCTCATCCCTCCTGCCCTACAACTTCCCATGGCCTCCACCTAACAGGTGCCCTGGTCCCCTTACCACCCAGACCTGAAAAGAGTGTGGGAGTGCCTACGAACAAGACCAGAACAACAGATACAGACAGGAAGCATCATGGACAAACCAGACGTAAGGTCCAGACTCTGCCACCACCTCTATTCCACCCCTTTACTTCTTCCTCCTGGGCTGAGCCATGCCCCAGGGCCTTTGCACTTACCACACATTTTCTACAGTTCACCTAACCCCTTCCCCTCAGGTCTCCATGCCAATGCAACTTCCCCAACAGCAGCTGCTCCTGGCCAGCCTGTGTCAAAAGCACCTCTTGTGGTTCTCCATGTCCTGCCTTTTGTCACTTATCATTGCTTTTATATTGCAATCGTCTTTCTGCTTCACCACTACCTGTCCCACTAGGAGGTCAGCCCATGGCAGCAAGCCCTGCATCTGTCTAGGTAAGCGTGCAGTGTGCACCTACTAAGTACTAATTGACAATTCTTGGTGACTTGCTTGATGGGGAAACGTAGGCTCAGACAGAATTCACCTGAAACCACCCAGACAGAGAGTAAACCTGGGCCTGGTTCCTTGTTTTCCGATGCAGCCCTGGGCACTAGCCACCAGGTGTGTCAGGTCCTATGCTGCCCTTGGCCAGGCCCCCTGGCACTGCAGGTTTCCCTGTGTCTCACCCAGAGGGAGGAGACGAGAGGTAAGCTGCATTCTTGTCCAAGAAAAGTACCGATTCATTCCAGGGCGGGATCCAAAACAGAATCGCCTGGCCGTCTGTTTGGAGTTGGCCGCCCTGCTGCCGTCCAGCCGGCACTCAGAGATGTAAATACGTCCTCCGAGTGGGCCAAATCGTTTCCTTTTGACTGCAGGCCAGCCATTTATTGGCCACAGCTCTCCCCTGGAGACTGGCGGAGGCAACAATTATAAAAGGGCCGTCCGCCGGAGCACGGGGCTGCGAGGCCCTTCCCCACCACCTCCTCCTTCCGACAGCTGCACAGCAAGATTGGCTGAGCCCGGCTTGTTTGCAAATATGACTCACGTCTTTGATTCTAATAGAGCCTAATGATTCGTGCTGAGCTCCCAGGGGGCTCTGGAGGAGCCGAGGAGGAAGGCCCGGCTCCAGCCTGATGAAGGGCATTCGGCCAGACTTGGCCCCGCCTGTCCTCCAGGGCCTGGGGGGAGCAGGAGGCCTGGGGACAAAGGTGACCTAAGAGAGCAAGAACCAGTGGGACGGGGCCGACGGGCAGAAGCTCTGCTTCCCCTTCGGAGCCACTCAGCGTTAAATTACAAATTAAAAGTGTGGGTCCCTGGGGCCCCAGTGGCTTCTCAAGGGAGTCTGAGGCCCTCTGCTGAGACTGGTGACTTAGTAGTGCAGACAGGATGGGCGTGTGGGGGTCCAGGCCAAGAGACCACCCCACGTGTAACTGAGACTACAGAGTGACGCACACACGAAGCACAAAGGGACCTGTGCCCATGGATGGCACCAGACTCATTTCAACCACCATCCCCCACTCCCCCTCCTGGGCTGAGCACCATCCTGCCCCAGGCCTGGAACTAGCTGTTCCCTCTGCCACTCATCCCCACGGCTCCCCTACCCCATCCCCCCGGGTCTCTGGGACACAGACAAAAAGTTCGCTAGAGGCGTCCGATGCCGGGGCTGGAATCTGTGCTACCGAACCCACAAACCCACGTCTGAGGCTCCTCCTAAGTACGAGTCCTGCTGAGCGACACAACGGAGTCAGGTGGGAGCGGGCCTGGCGGGGTGAAGCCACTGGCCAGTGTCAGGAGGCCGGCTCCGTGTGAGCCCCAGTCCAGCTGCATCCTCCTCCTCTAAGGGAGGGAGAGTCCCCACCGCAGTCCTCTGTGAACGGCAGGGAGGAGGCTGGCAGGGTGGCCAACAGGCTCCTCTCTGCCCAGGAGAAGCTGGGAGAAGTCTCAGCTCCCATGACCCCTGGTTTCCTAGACCTGCACATCTGGCACAGGTAACTGAGGGAAAGGGGAAAACGTCAGGGCCAGGCTTGGACTGCAGGGCACTGAGGCAGCTCAGAGTCTACAACATCCCACAGCGCACACAACGGCCCAGAAGCAGGCGCCGCAGTGCTGCTGGCCATTTTCAAAGGGGATTATTCAAGTTCTATCCCAACGAGAACCCAGACTTGCTTAAGGCTGAGCCCTCAGAGAACCTGTATACAGTCAGTGCTCAAGACACATCCCAGCCTCTTTCCCACCAGTGTGTTTCCTGATCAATGTCCACAACACACAGATGCAACCATGTTACTCTCCTACATCTCTCATGACTCCTCATCCCAGGGAACAAAGCAAAAATTTAGCTTAGCATTCAAGGCCCCAGCCCCACCCCCTCAAATTGCCCCATGAATCCTATGCTCTGGCCGAACTTATTCCTCACTATTCTCAAAACTCATAGCTTTCAGAGTGCTTATGCCTCCGTATGGGCTGTTCTGTCTAGAATATCTTCTCTCTCCTTTTCCTCCTAGTAAGCTTCTACACATCCCTCAAAGCCCAGCTCCTATGGCCCTTTCATTTGTAGAATGGAAGGGCAGTGACTTGCTGCTCTGGAGTACAGACATGGAACTCGTAAGACGAGTCAGCACTCAGTGAGGTTTACTGCATGGCAATACAATACTCTCGCTCCTTTCTGACATGTGGAAAAGGGTTGTGAGCTGAGACATGACACATCTGGATTTGGAACTGATCATAGAGACGCAAGGAGATGGCTACGGTAGCAGGAAGAGGCTGCGTCCGGGACAGTGGAGATGGGGGTGGCATGGGGAAGGTGGTCAGACCCTGGGTGCCCGAAGTAGGAAAAGCCAAGTGGCCCATGAACTGGACATGGGTTTGAACAAGTTTTGGATGCTGCCTCGGTACTTGCCCTACTTAGGAAGCCTCCAGAGCGACGACATGAAATGACGGCATGTTCCTAGCTCAGGGCTTGGGGGGGGCCCGGTCACTCCCTGTTCCTTCTCTTTCTTTCCACTGCTTCAAGCCCAAGACAAGGGAATACTGTGGAAGGCAGCAGGCCGGGTCTTTCTCGCCCCATGACATTCAGCTGCACTTGCCCGGCCAGTCCGCTGGCTCAGGCCCCAAGTTCACAGGAAGCAGCCCTGGGTCCTTCACCGAATCCTGCTTCCAAGGATCCTGCTGGTGGACCCAACTTTTCCCAGGGGTCTGGACAGACCGGAATGTCTGAATGTTCAAACAATCTCATGAAGCTCTGTAGGCCGGGGCAAGAGGGGTGTGCAGGCAGGAGTGGGAGGGGAGCAGGCAAGAGGCCGAGGCCGGTGCTCTCTGGACCAATCACATTTGTCAGGCCCCTGAAGAGGCCCAGGGTGGTGCCTGCAGAACCAGGGGGGATTTGGCAAGGCAAGCGTTCTGGAATCCCCCAGGAGGACCTAGGCTTGGGGACAGTCCAGGGAGAAGGTATGGTGAGGACCGACACCAAGCTCCTCCACCAAGACCCCACAAAGGGATGGCTCTGTACAACAGGGCGTCTCTGGGCATCTGCCAAGGAACAAATTCTGTAACCTCAGGATTAAACATCCCCAGGGCCTGGGAAGCAGTTATCTACTGAAAGGGCACCACGGAAACGGTACCCGTATTTACAGAGCAGGTTCTCTATATTTTAGATAAAGCAGGAATTCGTTCAGGCAGGCCCACCCTACAGTGCCATGATCACGGCAGGTACAAGGAAGGACACTGAGGGCCAGAGAGAGGACCATACCTGCCCAAGCCAGAGTGGCAGAGTAAAGGTTCAAACCCAGGCAGCTGGTACCCAGCAGAGGCAGTGCAGCCTAGGGACACCCCCAGTGGCTGGCAGGGTGTCAGAGGCCTGGGTGGGGCAGACCTGGGTGGTCAGGCTGTGCCAACAACAGCACAGAAAGGCCAGGACTGTGGCCTTCGGCCCCATTCAAGTGAGAAGAATGACACGCCAGCATTTCTTTGTCCACAGTCACAGCTCTCTAGGGGCAGGGAGGGAAGGTGGTGAATGTGCTTTTAACATTCCCTTTGTTTGGCAGTGGAAAATACCTCCACAGGAGCCTCCAACCCAGGAGGTGCAGAGACCTGCCCTTGAGCACATGACAGAAGGCCCCCAAGTGACACAGACCAACTGAGGACGCCACACACAGGGAAGGGACTGTCACAGCGCGGGTCTGCTCTTGCCCACAGCAAGGCCACATCTCAGTCATTTCCAGGGGCGAGGGCATGGAGCCTGACTGCTGTGTTCAGAGTTTAAGAGCTCACGACACCTGAGGCAAGTGATGGCCTTGTATTTCTGATCACCTGTAAGTACTGCGTAAGGATGTTCCCCGTGCATGGGCTTGCCAAGAGGTCCCCAAGCCTCGGGCCTGCGTCTGCCTTTCTGATGTCTCATTCGTACTTCCCTACACTACTGACCCTGCGGTCAAGAGCAAAAAAGGCTCACAGTCATGAAGAGGTAGAGTTTACCTCCCCCAGCTCTTGGACGGGGATCATCCTGTGACTTCCCTTGGCCAACAGGGCACTAACGCAAGTGACACAAGCAGAGATTAAGAACAGTTCACACACTGGGCCTTGTCCATCTGTTGCTCCAGAGCTGCCTGTGACAAGCCTGGACTAGCTTGCTGGGACCCCAGCCACAGCCAGCCAATCCCCAGAAGAGCTATCCTGAGGAGCGACAGGTGCCCCCAGACGCACAAAGGAGCCCAGTTCAGAACAGCCTAGCTGAGCACAACAGGCAGCCTGGCTGCCAAAAGGCAGTCATGAGCTAAACGAAGGGTGCTTTTCTAAAGCCACCAAGTCAGGGATGGTTGTTATACACCAAAAGCTAACTGATTCCTAGTTTTGCTCTACTGACTCACCTTTTCATTTGAGTTAACTACTCCAGCTTCATTTTTCTCTGCAACAACAGAGAATTTTTTCTAAAATATATTTATAAGAAAACTGTATCATGTTCAAACATACATTTCCCTGGCTTTGGGGCAACAATCCTCAGGGGAATCTCATGAGGTAGAAACGAGTCACTTCCCTCATTTGACAGTTAAAGAAACTGAGGCTCAGAAAGTGGGGTAGGGGACTTCCCTACAGCAAACAGCCAGTAAATGGCAGAACTGGGAACTCCAGGCTTGTCTGAGACCAAAACCATGTTTTTATCTCCAAACAAGTACCCCTTCTCCCTCCCAAGACAGTGAGGCCCACTGTCTTCTCCACCTACCCGTGCCCCCCGACCCTCCCCCACCCTGCTTCCTTCAACGAGATGGCCTTACTCCCAGAACTCGGTGACAGGGGAGGTGAAGTTGGTGCCGAGGGTGACCCAAAGACTCTTATTATTGCGCAGAGTGTCCTCCATGCACTGTGGTGTGTTCCAGCTGTGGTTGCAGTGGGCCCAGGGCAGCTCCTTCTGGAAGGACTGGAACAGGTAGTATGTAGCCCAGGCAAGGATGACGATGTAGTACACATTCAGGAGGGACACGATGACAATGGATGCATAGCCAATGCCTGCAAGTAGGACAAGCAAGATAGGCAAGTGTCACAAGACGGCCACCATGACCATGGACCACACACTCACCTGGAAGGGCCTGGTATGTCTAGGCCTCTGGCCAGAAGAGGCCCTTCAACAGTAACCAGCAAGTCTTTGCAGGTTGAATGGATGCCTGGATGGATGGACTTGTGAAAGGGCAGTCAGAGAAATGGGATAGCTGCATGAGTCAAAGGATGAATAGAGGAGGGACAGAGCAATGAATGCAGTTGGATGAACAAATGGCTAGATGAATAGGGTAAACGGATGTTTAATCAACAGATGGGTGGTCAGTTGGCTGTATGAATAGATGGATGGATGTCTGGTCGGTCAATGGATGGGTGGTTGGCTGACTGGCTGGCTGGTTGGCAGGATGGATGGATGGGTACATAGATGAATGGACAAGTGAACGAGTGGGTGAATGGATGGACAGACAGATGATGAATGGGTGAATGGATGGATGGATGGATGGATGGAAAGCTGAATGAACAGATGTTGGCTTGATGGACGAATATCCATTTGTTGCCCAGATAGCCAGTTTGTTAGGTGTATGTATGGTGGCTGGTTAGAAGATGGATAGAAAAGGCATGGATGGCCTAATTACTGACTGATTTAATGGAAGAAAGATGTAACCAATGGATGGATATTTACACGGATGACTGAATGGAGATTCTCACATATTCCCAACCTTCCCATGACACCCTAACAGTGATTATTTTGAGTGCATACTAAGTACTCAGCATATGCACACAAAGCACACTGACACAACTCTTGTCATTTTGTCTTCACAGCAACCCTATGAAGTAAGCATATCATTTCTATTATGTAGATGAGGAAATTGAGGCACAAAGTGTATTTCCAAAGTCACCAAACCATGAAGGAGAGGAAATGGGACCTGAACTCAGACAGACACTCCTGAATGTGGGTATTTATTACGTGCTGGGCTATTGGTCAGCTGCCAGCTCACCCACTCAACCAGCCAGGGAGGTGGCACAGCTGGGACCTGCTAAGCAGCTGCTGTGCACCCGGCACCTGCTGCGGCTTCCTCCCCTACTCCTCAGGGGTTCAATATGGCAACAGAGTGGCCTGGCTGCTACTGTGTGTCAGGCACAGAGTCAAATGATATGTGGTAGGAGATCCAATGTACCTGGCAAGCAGCAGGCGCTTAATAGAAAATGGCAGAAGTGAGGCACCCAGACCCAGGAGTCCTCAGCTCAACACTCACCAGAGAACAAGGGGCAGATCTTCTCCCAGCAGGTGATGCCCCCTTCTGAGGTGTACTGGCCTATGATGACCTCCAGAAAAAACACAGGCAGGCCACTCCCAAACAGGAAGATGAAATATGGGATGAGAAAGGCACCTGCAGGTGAGCAGAGGGCGAAGGTGAGGCCAGACTGTCATGGGGACAGAGGCTGGAGGCACTCACTCCAAGTCCTCTCAGCCAACAGAATCAGAAAAATGAGCAGGGGATGAAAGGACATAGGGACAAAGGCCAAACTCTTGATGTTGGTTGAAAATTCTCCAGGCCCTGCCCGCCTGTCATCTTCCTTCCAGTGTCATTGCCCCCTACCCCCACCTTCAAGTCCACCAGGACCTTCAAGCTGCCGAGCCTTTGTTTAAGCAGACCTGCAGCCTGCCTGCCTTCTCCAGTGTCCCTCTGAGGAGAGACAACTCGGCCTGCAGGACCTGGCTCCTCGCCACCTCCTGCTGAAGCCTTCGGCAGCCCTCCCAGGCTGGCACAGGCAGGCGGCTGGAAGGTCTAGGAGGGGCAGTGGTGAGAAGCAGGAAGTGGGCATCTCTAGCTTCGGGTGGGTGCCAGGGGAGAAAGGAGGGCAAGGCATGGGGTGGGGGATCCTACTTGTGTCCACTAATGGCTTCCGCGTGTCCATAAACCCTTACACTGTGGGCAGCTTGGATCTAGTGTGTGTGCTTTGTTCTGGCAAGCATCTAGGACACTCATCAGAGTCCCAAAGGGACCTGATGCCTATGAGAGGTTAAGAAAGTAGCCTCGAAGGAGGAATTCCCCAAAAGGTGGTTCTTCTAGCACAGCGGCCCACCTCTGGTGCCCCGCCTGGCCAGCAAACCCTCCCTGTCTGGTTCACTTCCAGCTCTTCTCACTGCACCAGCAAGAAAGTTTCCACCAGGGGCTGCCTGAGCTTAACACCTTAGAGGTTTTCGCTCAGAGCCTTCTGCAGGCAGAAATATAAAAATCAAAACCCGAACCAACTCACTAATCAGCCTAGCAATACAGAAGCCTTACATGTAAAAAATATCTTCATTGCATCTTTTTTCCTTGGATACGTTTGCATTTTGGCACTAGTTTTCCACATAAGTCCAGAAGCTTGCTTTCTGGACTGCTTTGGGTGAAGTTGGAAAACTGAAAGCCGATGAAAGAAGCATCAATATGGCACAATTTAGGAAGGGGAGTGTGAGTGAGGACTGGATGACAAGGGCCTGACCTCACCCCAGCTCTTCAGAGAGAGCACATGAGAAGATCAGAGAGGTGAGGGAACTGCTGAAGGTAACACAGCAAGACCCTGACAGAATGGTACCCTGATCCTATGCCTGCTAATCCTGTGACTAAGATGGACACAGGGCAAAGGACATGGGGTGGCAGGCTAATGGGGAGGAGGTGAGGCACACAGGCCACCCATGCTCTGGCCTCAGTCTTCACCTCCAGTGACACTCCAGCTCCCCAGCAGCCCCATCTCGGACTCACCTCCACCATTTTTGTAGCAGAGGTATGGGAAACGCCAGACGTTGCCCAAGCCCACGAAGCCACCAGCCACAGATAGCACAAAGTCGATCTTGCTGGCCCACTTCTCCCTCTGTGGAGGCTTTCCCTCGGCCTCGTCCTCAGGCCGCGTGCCTGGGCTCTTCCCTGGTGATGGCTTCAGGATGTCCTTGTGGAAATCTTTGAGACACTGCAGCTTCTCCTTGGTGGCCATGGCCTCAGTTTCTATGGGGGACAGAACAGGACTGATGTGAGGTTAACCAGCCACCTGGGTGTCTCCGAACAGTGTCTCCTGTCCCACCGTGGACCACTTCCCACCTGCACAGGCTGCAGCTGGGGCTGGCGTCCCCTCATCAGCCCGTGTACAGCAATGGGAGCCATCCACACCCCCTCTAGGGAGCAGGGACCTCATGATTCAGGTTGGGGACACTTGGAACCCACAGAAGCAATGGGTTGCATTTTCTGGACACCTGCTAACCAGATGAATTAGGGTCTCCGTGGCTGTGGTCCCTGAATGTCAAACTTCAATCAGTCCACACCCCGATGCAGGCACCATCTTTTCCAAAGTCCAACACACCCAGGCAGTTCCAGGCACATTCCAACTTATGGCCCCATGCCTATAGCTCCAGACGAGAACAAAGATGCCTTCTAATCTAGGATCTGCATAGAAAATGACAGTTTCCTTGGTTGGGCACAGTGGCTCACATCTACAATCTCAGCTACTCAGGTGGTGGAGAGTGGGAGGATCGCAATTCAAGACAACCCCAACAACAAAAAGTTAGTGAAACCCCAAAGCTGAGTGTAGTAGTACCCGCCTATAATCCCAGCTCCCTGGGAGGCACAGGTGGGAGGATTGCTGTCTAAGTCTAGGTCCCCGCAAAGATGTAAGACCTGACCTGAAAAATAACTAAAAATAGCTAAAGTAAAAAAAGGGAGCATGGCTCAAGTGGTAGCGCGTCGGCCTAGCAAGCACCAGGCCCTGAGTTCAAACCCCAGTACCATCCAAAACATAAATAATAATATTAATAACACCATTAATAATAATATCATTAACACCCTTGCACCAGACTGACCCACAGAAAGGGCCCGTTCATAACTGCAAAGAACACATAAATGGGGTTTCCATCATAGTATAGAAAGTGGGTATTTCTGAAATATATTTGCAATAGTTAATGAGTCATACGTAGCAGGGAAAAAAGGCATTTGCACTGAGACTTGTGCAAGAATGCTTGTCTGGACTGAGGATGTGGCTTGGTGGCAGAGCACTGGCTAAGCACATGCAAGGAAGGCCCTGGGTTCTATCACTAGCACTGAAGAAAGAAAAAAAAAAGAATGCTTGTTAATCTCCAGCACCCTCACCCCTCACTCTCTGCTGACCCTGGCTGACCAGAGCCCAGGCTCTCTTGGCCTCTGGCTCACTTCTGGGTCTGGACCAACAGGCCTCCTAAGTCCAAGGGATACCCACTACCAGCCAGCCAGGGCAGAGCCTCTTCTTCCTCTACTTCCTCAGGTCCCAGGCCTCACCCTGGGAGATTGGTCCTGAGGGCCGCCGTCTGTGCATGCAGGAGGTGGGCCTGACTAGCCATCAAAGACAAGATAAAGCCAGCCACCAGTGGCTCACGCCTAGCTACTCAGGAGGCAGAGATCAGGAGGATCACAGTTTGAAGCCAGCATAAGCAAACAGTTCGAAAAAAGAGCTGGTGGAGTGGCTCCAGCAGTAAGAGTGCCTGCCTAGTAAGCATGAGGCCCTAAGTTCAAACCCCACTGCTGCCAAAAAAAAAAAAAAAAAAAGACCAGATAAAGGTGGCCCACCCTACACCAAATTCCAGTGTCAAGGCCAGGTCCCTACCTTCAGAGTTCACCCACAGCACAGCAGAGGCCACAGAATACAGAAGAGGTTGGGGACCAGAGCTGGTAGGCCTCCCCACCCTTCTCTGAACCCCAGCTTCCTTATCTAATACAACTAATGACAGCAACGGTAGCCAAGGTACAGCCATGCATTCTGGGATGCACCTCGTCTACTTTCAAGATCCAAATTAGTAGCCAACACTGAAATGCCAGATTTCGGAGAGAAGTAGAGATTTCAAGGTTCTCTCAAAAAACTGGAGGGCCAGGACACCCGGGACTTATGAGCCTCACGTGACCACCAGCTGGAGCAGATGTGGCTGTCCCATGGGCAGCTTGTCCCCTGGCTTGGAGGACATGCTTGCCTGGCTGGCTCCAGAGCATTCCAGTGTGGCTCTTCCTCACTCTGCCCTACCTGAGAACTGTCCGTTCATTCACTCCTTCCCTAGCTGTCTCCTTGGTGACGGGGACACAGGCTCAGGGGCAAGGACTTGGTCTGCCTTGTTCATCGCTGTACACTACGCCTGGTGCTGTGCCTGGCACAGAGTAGGACATCAGGTTTCCAGAATGACATCCATAAGAAGCCAGCGACAAACACAAACCTCAGCTCTGCTGGAAGGGATGAACCTCTGGTCCCAGCCTGCAGGCTGGCGTGAGGCCCTGGGATGCGCACAGGGGACGTGTGGACCTCGCCCCACCCAGCAGCCCGGCCTCCAGGGGCTCTGCACAACAACAAACCCCTATTTCCCCCACGCCTCCTTCCTCTCCCAGGTTCACTCGGGGTGGGGGACCCCGATTGTTTCACTATCTGGCAGCCAGCAGACTGAGAAAGGCTTCCTGGAGCCGCTGGGCAGCCCACGGAGCCCTTCCTCTGTCTGGTGGAGCATCCGCACGGCCTTTCTCTGCCCTGCTCCCTCGGGGCCGGGCGCGGGGTTCGGCAGGCCCATGGCCACTGTAAAAATAGCCCGTGCGGCCAGCATTGTTCCTGCATTAATCCGCAGCCCCCGATGGTTATCTAGGCGGCTCATTGTGGGCCGGCTGGGGGGCACATAATTGGAGGATGTGGTACTTACTCCCGTCTGGGCCAGGTGCATGCAGGGAATGACCCAGAGCCTCCTGTAGACAAGGGCTGGGTCCACCCTTCTTGGTCTTCGGGCCGGAGGACTTTAAAGATTGGCCTGGCCTTTAAATCTAAGCCTCTGCTTACATCCTCCAATGGGAAGGGGAGGAGAGGAGGCTTTCAAAACCTCATAGGTAGCTATGAATGGCAAAGGCCTGGACCCCTCTAGGGTCTGCTTCCCTGTGGCTGCCCCTGGGTGCTGGCTTTGCCTCCTGGGTCCCCAGACCCATCTGCCACATCGGCACTCAAGAGAACCTCTAGAAATTTGGGAAGGGGCAGCCAACTGGGGTTCTCTAAGACTCTGCTACACTCTGGTTTCTTAGAAAACAAGGACTCCAGCCTTTTCCACACTCAGGATCCCATTGTCCCACCACGTGGTAGAAGAACCAGGATGGAGGGAAGCTTGAGTGAGGCCGAGCAGGATCCTGTCCTGTGCCTGGAATTTGCGGTCTCATCCCCATCACCTTTCTCACTAGGCACAGGGACACACTTTTGCTGTGGGACCAGTCACACACCACTTGCCCTAGAGGATGCAGAGCCCAGATGTCCTGCTTGTACCCCCACCAGGCTGGTTGCACTCCAGAGGGCCACTGTCCACAGAGGACATTGCTCAGTCCCTAGGCTCACTCAGGCCTGGATAGAGTCAAACTTAGAGGCAGGTTCCCTTCCCCCCCTCCAGGATGTCTGCCCTTGTGGAACACCATTCTAGCGAGACCCACACACCTGCTCCTACACATTCCTGGCATCCACCCACATCCTCCCCATTGCTATGGCAACCACTGCTCCAGGCCTGTCAGCCCCTTGCACGGGCATCAGCAACAGCCTCCCCACAGGTCTCCCTGCTGCTTGGCCTACCCACCCCCCCAGTCTATTCTCAATGCAGCAGCTGAAGACAACTTTAAAAACCTGATCAGAGCGTAATCGACCCCCAACCCCAACCCTGCAATCACTCCTGGAGGGAAACACAGCTCCCCACACACACACACCCCCGCCCCCCAGGCCCTCCAGGTTGCAGCATGGCCTCGCAGCCCCACAGGGCTGACTTAGTGGTTCTTCAGGCCCTCTGAAGTATGTGGACCCTAGCCCAAGAGCTGACAACCCCCGCTCTGGCTGCAAGACCTCAGACAAATTGCTCAACCTCTGTGGACTTCAGTGTACTCATCTGTAAAGTGGGGACAGTCATGACTCATGGAGAGTCATGAGTTAAATGAGGGGTATACAGAAATTGCTTTGAACTGTGTATGATACATGGTTCATATTTAGACTCCCTAAATAGCAGCCACCATTACTATCACTGTTTTACTGTCCACCCCAACCCTGGGGTGTTCAAAGCCTGCATCCTACTCAGCGTGAAAACAGCAAGGCCCAGACACTCTGAGGTCACCTAATTGAGCCAGTAGCAACAGAGACCATGCTGCACACAAACCCTATGCTTGTGCCTTCGCTGACCTTCTGTGGGCCCAGCCTGACCTCACCTGACATCCTCCCTGGAGTATGTCATCCATCTCTGCAGACTCCCAACCCCCACAGTGGTCAAGTGGTCACCTCGCAGTGCAGGGAGTGCACAGGCACCGGTCCCCTCAGAGGCCTGCTTCCCTGCAGACAGGAGCTGTTTTTCTTGGCACTGGGCCCAGGGCTATTTTGTACCAGATCCATCCCCATTTTCAGAGTTTCCTCTAGGTTGTGGCTACACGATTAGAATGGACTCTGATACACAGGCTCTGGGATAAAGCCTTCCTCCTTGGCCCACTGAAAAACTCTGTCTCAGTCCCAGCTGTGCCTGACTTCCAAACTGCGTGCAGATCACCTGGTCGAGTGTTGGCACACCTGTAGAGATTCACCCCAATGACACCATGGATTTGTAAGACACACCTTCGCTCCCCAGCTGGTTTTAAAAAACACCAGAGTTTTGAGTACTTGGACTGGGCTGAGCTGTTTATAAATATGGTTTCCTATCCCTCATCAAACACTCTTATGAAAGAGACTTTTTTTTTTTTTTCCATTTTGTCCTGTTTGGAATTGAACCCAAAGCCTTGCACACATCAGGCAAGCACTCCAGTGCCGAGCCACGTCCAACAGTGGGAAGCTGAGGCTATACACATGGGGGTAGGAGAGCCACAGAGGCTGAATTCACACCTTGGTCTGCCTCACTGCTATAGCACTGAGCACAGCTCAGAAAGGTCTTCACTGTGCGTGGGGCTACTGAGCCAGAGGAAAAGGCCTGCAAAGGTGCTGGGGGGTCAGGTGACATGGCGCCTGC